CTTGCAGCCGTGCCACAAACTTGTCGTGGTGTCCATATCTGGTAACGGCTGGAATGATCGTATCACGTGCTTATTGACAAGTCTTAGGTCTGAAATTAAGCGAAATTTGGTGTTGTCATCTTTTGCGCCCTTTTTTGCAATCAAGAAGGCTGGAGAATGATATGGCGAGTTGGATGCTTCAATTATATCTAAGTCCATTAGCCGTTTTATTTCCTTCTCAGCATGTGGTCTTAGTGCCAAGGCTATGGGTCTGAACGGCGCCCTTATAGGCTTGTTAGTATCCAGTATTATCTTGTGCGGTTTTATCTTCGCAGGTTTGATAATTCCTCCTTCATTTATCGCGAATACTTCACGGTATTTAGCAACGAGCTTCTTGAGCTCAGATAATTGTGCTTTCGTGAGGTGATTTATTTCATCTAGTTTAAGCTTCTTAAACAGATCTTGATCATTGTTGTTTTTGATTGGATTATTCTCCTCCGATGTATTGTAGCAATCCGATACATTGTTACATGCTGAATCTGTAATACTTGTAACAAGGTTCACCGTGTTAGTATCAATCGATTTCAAGGAACCAACTGTTTGATTCCTGTATATGATTACCGTGTAATCATTCGGGTTTACAAGGTCGATATGCGTCTTGCCTTTTTTAAGATTCACGAGCGAATCTTTCGAGGATATTTTATACTTCTTTGCGAGAAGACCTTCGCATGGCTCGTATATGCCAGTGTACGAACAGTATTTCTGTTTGTTGGATCGTTTACTCTTCACTCTACAGTGCACGTTATGCACCGTGGTTCTCGCAGGTATCTGTATAGTTTTGCTTAGCAGAACTTTGAGCTCTGGATTTGTCTTGTTCTGAACTTGGAACAAGGGGACCTTAATATCGTCGTCTAATTGAAACGACATTGCTGAAAAATTCAGAATACATCTATTATCTATCATGAAATCTGTACCAATGAGTATGGGCTCTTGCAGGTTCTGCACTACTATTAGAGTAGCGTTGAACGTTTTGTTAGCAATTTGAATTTGCTTCTTTATAGATCCCAAAACATTTAGTTTGGATCCTTCGGCACCAACTATTTGGCCGTTATAATCCTCCATGTTTACTAATTCCTCTTTAGGGACTATTTCGCTCCGTACTAAAGAGAGTGTAGATCCTGAATCTACCAATGCATAAACGTACGTGTTAAATAATTGAGCTTTCACGTACGATCTGTGTTTTGAATTGCATGCTTGTTTTCTAATTGATTTTGCATGCAAACAACTATCATTATTAATAATTCTACAAGAGGTTACTTTATGTTTACTTTTGTTCCTCTTATCTAGCTTGACCGAAAAGGGTTCGTGGTAGGCGCTTGTGGATTTTGAGCTGTCTGGTTTTGAACGTAGCTCTGATTGGTTTGAGTTCTATTTTGATCGGGACTAGGTCTATTGAGATTCCAGCATTTTGCTTCTGTATGACCACTTTTGCCGCAGTATGTGCAGTATGGTCTCTGCTGTGGCTGTGACTGATATTTCATTAGATCCCAACATTCACTTCTGTAATGACCGTATTTTCTGCACTGGTAACATTGAATGTTCCGTTTATCAGTATACTGTCTTCGGTGTTGACGGTCTGAGGTTTGGAAGTAGGGTTGCATTTCTCCCTGTTGTGCTCTGCTATTTGTCGGTAATTGTTGACCGTACGGCGTTTGATCATCCGTATTTTTCATATGCTGCATTACAGGCGGATGGAATTGTTGATTTCTATTTCTCCCCGCAGTCATTACCGCGTTTACAGTGTCTGGATCAGAGCTTTTGTTGTTAGTACAATTGCAATTTGCACACGACACTTGATAGACTTTTTCAAGTACTTGAGCTTCGCTTTCTTTTCTGATGTATCTGCGCGTTTGCAGCGCTTTGCAATGCCTTGCTGCAGCTTCTACTGCGTTAGTTAAGTTATCGAAGTTTTCTTCAAGTAACTTTACCCCTAATTCATCATTTCTTACTCCCATGAGGAAGCTTTGAATCAGTTGTCTGTTTTCTCGAATGTTTTGCTCTTCAGGAAAAGCTTCTAGAGCCATTTTTTCAAGCTCACTAGCGTATTGTTCAACACTTTCACCTTCATGTTGTTTTCTGAATCTCAACATATATTCGGCAGGGATTCTCACGCCTTGTCTGTTCTTGATGGCTGTTCTTACTAACGTTTGTGTTGCGTTATCGAAAAAATCGTTCTTCTGAGCGTTTGTTAAGTTCAGGCTTTCGATAATCGTAAAAGCTTTGTCATCCATGAACGATAAAAATGTTCTGTAAACATTATTTGCATTGATGTTCAATAATTCAGCATAGTTTCGAAACTGTTTTAGCCATGACGCAAAGTTTTTCTTCAGTTGGTACAATTCTGGCGATTTGGCGACATTGGCGACGTTTCTGTTTTGATTTTCTGCCATTATTGTGACGTCTCAGTGCGGAGTTATGATTGTACTGCACTGGTGTAGCACAGCAGATCTCGATTTTAGAGTGTAACTCACACTTTGGTCGTTCTTGTCTGGTTATCGTCAGACTTTTTGACAGGATTATAACTGAGAACGTTTGTCTGGATATCGTCAGACTGTTATCAGTTTTCTCTTATCTGTTGGTCAAACTCGGAGTTCGTCGAGTTCGCGCCAGTTTGTTGTGTTCACTTTATGAGTATAGTGAACACACAATGAGTTACTTTGGGTTTTGACAAAGTGAAACGATTTAAGTAGAGCTAAAGTAGAACTGAAGTCTTCGATATTACAACTTGTTTTAATAATCACAAAATCACTAACGCAACCGCTACGTATATACAAAACAACAATTACTACTAACCACGTGGTTTAAACGCGTGGTCTGATCGGCAGAACTGCTTGTGAAGTAACTGCCGACCTAAAGAGTCTGTTTATAAAATATCGTCTAAACTATAATAGAATACACTACAAACTATACTACAAATATCTTACATACAACAATATGGTTTACAATTTGGAGCACTTCGACGCGCCGCGCATACTAGCATTCTTGCTTCGCATTAATTCGCATCGACGATGGGTTGACTTGTATCACGTTGTGACACCCACGGTCGTTTCACTGACGCATGACGATACAGGGGGAGCCGCGCACTTCGTGCGCGGCGGGTCATACAACGTATGACAAGGGTTGACATGATCGTCAATCAAGTTTACAATATACTGCAAAGGTTGATTGACAATGTCAACCCTTCTAGATCGTTGCTCTGCGCGGAATTGCTACACGTTGTATACCTCTCGTGCACGCGAAGCGTGCACGCCGGCCGGCCGATCAAAAGGGGTTGCAGCGTGTGTCAAGCGCGGAAGCAAAGTAACGATCTCGATGCGAAGCAAGTTCGTACAGTGCATCGAATAAGCGAAGTCCTCCAAGGCAGCAAAAATTTTATCTGATGAGTTTTTAGCAGCACCAAAAGGTTAACAATTTAAATTCAACCCTTAAGCGGGCGTGCTAAATTGTAAATAATCACTATACACTCGATCTTCGAGATTTTTCTAAAAGAGCTCCTGATAGTCGAAACCTCCTCGAACCGATGTATTTTCGAACGCTGATTCCGAATCACCCCCATGATATACGGTTAAAATTCTCCCCTGACGAGATATTGGCAAAATCTTCCAGTGCATCTTCCATCGTTTGCCAATTAGGACCCCAAAACTCCTGATGTTTGCAGGTTTTATTTTACTCCAAAGTCTGTGGAAAACTGGTCATGGTTTTCACTGTAACATAATGAAACTTCTGAGTTGATGGTCATGTGACAAAAACAAAAAAGTTAAAAATTCCATTAATTTATGTTGGAATTCCTTTTCTTAAAAAGTCATTATTTTACTAAAACATGACCTTCATTCATAAAATCAGTGCTGCGAATGCAGATTGCACACAATTATCCCGAGAACAGAGTTTAAACAGTGCTGCAATCAACCTGAGTCAGGATTTTTTCGATCATTTTATAGCTTCATTTTACCGAAATTTAATTTGTGTCTTAAAAAGTGGTAACCTGATCTTGTTGAAATTTTTTAAAATTGACCCAGAGATTTTTTCTATTGAATGAGAGCATTGTTATGGTTATGATACCTTCCGGGAATTATATCCAACAAAAGTCTTGGACACTGAGAGCTGATAATTTGCAGATATATCCCGCAATACAAGGGAAGCGAAGGTATTATCAGCATAGACTCAGACTGGCTGGTGGCAAGTATTAAAACAAATAACACTGGCGTTCTATATATTACACACTATATTGTATGATGCGCACGTATCGGATTACACCCCTTCCAATCAGAACCGGAAAATATTATAATACATAACACCTTGGCAATTTCGTGCCCGCGCGTTCCCTCCAGCAAGTTGTCGGGAATTATCGCGCTCAGCACTCAATAGCCTAGGTATTATTATATTATAACTAGCTGATTTTTACTGCAATTTAAACAAGGATGCTTTAAAAACTCAATTTGAAATCAGTGGCGTTACGTTGCCTGTTGGCGCCCGCCGCCCCTCCTCTTTTGGCGCCCCTCCCTAAAATTGAACAAATTAGATGATTTTAGTGGATACTCCGGTAAAATCTCTAAAAAAGTGTGTTTCTAGAGCAAAACACACAGTTTTGCTAACTTATCGTAGTTAGATTTTTCGAAATCGTCCCACATTCAATGCTTATGATATTGACTTCTAATTAGTTTCTTAAGCTGCTGCCTCTATTGACCGTAGTATTTCTTTAATGTTCCTACACATTATTTTGTTATTTAGTGTCTCAAGTCCTAAAAGTTGTTCATCCTTTAGAATATAATTAGTGTGGATTAATTTTCAGGTTTTCTTGTGTTCTCAATTGTTTTTTTCGTGGCACAGTAGTGCATTTTTAAGTTGTTGTGCCACTATAATGTAAAATTTTGGATTATTATTTGTATTTATTATTTTAATGGAATTAGCTCCTCCCTTGTGACAATGGACAGTAAGTTATAATTATTTTATTTCATAGTTAGCATCATGACACTGCCTGGGTGGATCTACATAGGAATCTTTGTACATGTTATAATAGCCCTTGTGTTCATATCTTCTCTACTCTACTATCACTACAAATCTAATACTGTTGCTGTCCAGGTAATGTTGAACATGATTTATTATATGGAACAATAACAGATTATATAGCCTAGTTTAAAAAATGGAATTATAAGATAGTGACTGGTGCTTTGAGGGTTAGGCAGCACTGTTGCACTGAGTAAAAGTTAAACCAGTCAATTTTGAATGCTCTTATATAATTAAATCAATTAATAGTGGTTTGAATTTAACAAATTAACACTTAAAATTTGTCATAAACCCTTATCAAGTTGCTTTAATCAGTATTTACGTCCTCAGTTTACAAATCAGTGAAACACAAACAAATCAGTGAAACACAAACAAATGTTATAATTCTGATAACTAGATTAGTTCATATTACCTAGTCATATAACCTAGTCAACAACAGTGTCACCTAGTCTAGGGAGTAGCTAAGGATCCATTGGATCTATAGTAAACAAAGTACTATTAACTATTATTAAACTATAGACAAATCCTGGTTATACTATTTATTGCAGATCGCTACTAAAATAGACAAGTATCTAAAAGAGTTTGGTTATGATGCTGCTCCTTTTCTACCAGAATGGTACAACAAGCTCTCAACTATTGTAAAACTGGACTATCCTCCAAATACAGGTTTTATGATATTTTGTTGGTAATGGTTAAAGTTACTTGTTGTCTAGTTAGTTGTAAGTTTGAACAATACATATGTTTGTAGACATCTTTATCCCCTGGGAAGAATGAACAGTCTGGCGAAACTAAAAAATCTCATCAGAATTTTGCATCCATTGAATTTTTCACTGTGCTTATCTTTTCAGTGTGTGTGGTGGTGTTATCAAATGCAGACATGTTTGACAAGACATTACCTTGTTACATCAGTGAACATGATCCAGAACTGAAGAAAGGGACTGATTGTGTTGATTTATGCACCAAGCACTACATGACAAAGGTAAGAGATGTAATCAAGTAGACTATGTTCTTTTGATTTAAGTTGACTGAGTTTTATTAATTACAACTACAATATGGAAATGTCGAAGTTCAACAGCTGAACATAAATAATTATTCTTTTTACCAGCTAATAATATGGATAATGTTATTTATCATTAATACTTGATGGATTGCACCAAAAAATTAATTAATCTTCCAATTGATATCATATAATATTATCACTTTATCATTGGTATAGTGGGTATAGTAAATGACAATCACTTTGATATGCCTCTTTGTGAAAAGTAGTACAAATTGTGGTAGGAACCAAACAACAATGATAGGTAACAAAAGATTTATCGAATTGACACTGTGACAAGACGTTGCTGTTGCTCACTTTGCCGCACTTCAGAGTTTCCCGTTCTTTCAACAGTTGATAAATCTTGTAAGATCAGTGAGGCTCTGCGAATTGTATCGGAGCAGTTGAAAATATTTCCGATTATTGTCCACAAGTAAGACCTAAAGCTGGTCACAGTAAGGGTATAAATATAAAAGTTACTCATGATATTTAGTTGTAGTAAATATTTAAGTACCCTCCAAACTTGAGGACTGATCAAGACTGCTGATTTCTCTGGCGCAAAAGACTCTATAAGCGAGCATATAACATAGGGCATTTGAGAGATGCAGAAAACAGCAGCAGTCAGCAACGCTGTCACTACTCCTTGCCATCTTTCATTCCCATGACCCCTCCGGGAAACTCCCCTTGCTTCAAATAAGGAGTTGAGTGTCGGTATAGTGGTTGCAATAATGGCAACAAGAGGAGCGTACGATGACACTGCCATAGCAAGTGGATGCAACAATCCCCAAACTTCTGATGAAAATCTGTAGGTACATGTGTTTGTGTTATAGTAGTCTGAGGAGATTACTCTGTATTCAAAAGAGATGTCATCCTTTCCTATGAGCAAAAACAAAACTGGGAAGATTAGTAAAGATATTGTCCAGATAATGGTACAATGAATGTGTCCCAAACTGCATGACCACGTTCCTGAACGAAGAGGTTTTTTAAGCAGGAACAACTTACTCGTGATCATTAGACACACAAAAAGGTTGCTTGCTGGAAAGGCTTGGTAAGTCACATAAACTCTAGCGTAACACATGACATGATGTGATGTGAACAAACCCTCAGTGATCCAACTTTCTGTGACCAACGTGACCAAGTTGGGCAGTGACACAAACGTCACCAGAATCAGATCACAGACTGAAATATGCTGGATTATAGACACAAGAACCTTGTTCAGCTTGATTGCGTTGTGTTTTATTGACGCGTACAGTATGATTGTATCCCCGATAACGGAGGATAATATCACAATAGCATGGTAGATTATCCAGAAGTATCGCTCTGTAGAATTCTGTAATCCGTCCAATGAGGAGTCGTTGGAGGTGTTGACCATTTTCATTGTAACAAAACTGATATGAGGAGATTTGTTAGGTAAGTAAATGTAGATAAGGGAGTATCTAATGGTATGCAAAATATGAAATATTTACAGAATATATGTCTAGTGGGGATGCAGATTATAGTTGTGAAGTACTGTACTGCGAATGAACTGTGAATGTACTGTGAATGTACTGTGAACGTACCATTAACACACGATGTTTTCAATACACTAGCTCGACTTCCAAAGGTGCATGCACTGCAAAATCGGTTTACAGAATAATAAAATTTAATTTTGCTGAAGTAGATTAAAGTCATGCAAGTTATTAAATCTATTATATTACAAAACTTCAAAAGAAAACAATAGAAGTAATATTATATAACTTTATCAGATTAAGATTAAAGCTATTAAAGTCACTAAATCATACAACTTCAAAAGAAGACAATAGAAGTAATTTAATATAACTTTATCAGATTAAGATTAAAGCTATTAATTAAAGTCACTAAATCATACAACTTCAAAAGGAGACAATAGAAGTAATATAATATAACTTTATCAGATTAAAGCTATTAAAGTCACTAAATCATACAACTTCAAAAGAAGACAATATACAGCCTAATAATTTTATAATACAATATAACTTATTCATGACTCTTCTTTATCACTGCGCAGTTTTCTATAAGCCCCTCTAACTATTTAAGTTAACTAAAGAGTCAAGTTTGTTCTCATTACAATATTCTATTCCTTCCACGACAGAGCTTAATAAACCTGGATTATATGGACAGTGGACTGTCTCTCCCTACAAGCATGCAATTCGTCAGCATCAAAATTATCTAGAATTATTCTGCTGCTTCTCTCTAAATCACCATGGCGCTCGTATTTAAAGTAACGAACTATGTCATGCTATTATATTACATTATATTATATTATACTAGAAAGGCAGTTATCACAGGGAGGAAACTAATTGTATTCTTTGAAAATAAGATTTTATCGCATTAAAAAAAACGTCCATCCCAACTGAAGATAAAGTCGATTAATTATATATGTAAAACAGTCCACACAACTAAACGTGATAATATGATGTAACAATAAATGTAACAAGAATCATTGCGTGCGCACATAAACCCGAGCTTCTGTTATATTAACAATTTTACCATATGCTGCATATTCGATTTATCCTCACTTCCTCAGTTTAAAATCCAATCTCCAGTGATCGCGCGCATTTGTATTATTAATGAGTCTGATTGTTGGAGTCAACCCTGTAATGGTGATGATATCACAAACTTATGGAGAGATTCCTAGTCATGTTTAGAGAGCAGTGCAACTGATCATGGCACGAGGCACGTACGTGTTTACTACTTTAACATGATTTAAGAAAATGTCACATTTTAACAAACTTTAACATAATTTAACAAACTTCAACATAATTTAAAATTATTTTCAGAATGAAATTAGTAGTTATTGATTAAATCAGCTTTAGGAACGGGCAACAAACAAGAATGAGTTGATTTTAGGGACAGGGTAGCCTATGTACTATGTAGGGCCATGCCAGATCTTTTAAAATATAAAATATCAAGAAAATGTAACTGATCCTATTGTTGTTGGACGGTGGTTCTAATGACCAGTTTACAAAAGTAATGAATATTAAATAATATTAGAACCTTAATAAACTGAAGAATTTAACCTCTTTTGGCGCACTGCACACAAACTTTAAGGGACCAACAAATTGGCTCTTGATAATTTGACTAGACGTAAAAAAATCAACAAAATGTGTAGATAAGCGAGCAATTAACTTAAAACAAACGAAAAAACGGTTTTACACATTAACTTTTCGATAATTTATAATTTATTTAACTACACGATATATAACTCATATATAATATAACTATTATAAGCGTTACAAAGTAAACGATGTTATTGTCCAACTGAATAATAACATCGTTTACTTTGTTACGCTTATAAAAAGCTCCAATAAATGTTAGTAGAGCACTTTGTCGAACACGAGAAACGAACGTGTTATCGGTTATACAATATACACGCACTATATATTATAAATCCTTATATTAATATGTAGGTTTAAACCTTTTTAGTTGCTCGGTAACCCTTGCTGATCACAATGGATATATAATTAAAATATTAAATCATTAGTACTAGCGGTATACCCATCCTATGGACTATTAATCCTGATTTGAAAATTAGCGGCCGTTATGTGACAATAAAAAACAGCGCCTCAGTTCGTAATAAGTAATGGAGAGATAATATATAATAATACACTATTATTATATAAGGTCCGTGCCTAACGTCAAGTGTATGCGAATATGCCTAAACAATACACATACAAGCAGCTATTAAGGAGAAGAAGTGAAACATTCTGTGGTTAATAATAGTAAATAATAGTTAAATGTGCTAATTATCACAGTATATTACATTTTATAGACGAATCCTTTATCATTATGATGTAATACTTCAAACACAAGGATATGTTTTTTAATAATCTTCCGAACCATGATGAAGGGCAGTTTCATTGAAGGAAATAGGATCGGTTAATCCAATCTTACAGTGGCATAACATTACCAAACGCCACCAAATGTCAGAACAAACTGAACACAGCCACCTGCCACAATAATCAAACACCATCACTCACTCTAAAAGTCGAGACGTAAAATATCAAAACACGCTAGTATGATTAATGAGTCTAGGGCTGTATAATAGGGCCTATAATGATTGTGACCGTTAGGAAACCTTCCAGACATATTTAAGGGCACTTTGGGGAAAGATCGGGAATCTGACACGAGTCACGTGTCAACATATTACTATTAGTGAAAGGATAATATGTAAATATAATGGGATACATTGGGATACTAAGATTATGTTTGCGTTTCATTGCTCAACAGCTGTTCGAAGGATCAAATTTAAGAAAGGGATACATTTCTGTGTTTAAACTGGTATTAGTCAGTTGGGCACCATCGTATATTAATCTACGTCTCATTGGCCATATCACAATACCTTTAACATTAATTAAGAGGTATTGTTCCTTGTTGTGGTTGAAATTTATGTTAGCAAATTGCTTGTTAACAATTGTTAACGAAATAAACAAATTGCTTGATAAATTTGTCATTTTGAATCCGTTTCGCGGCATCTTTTCAAAACATATTCCACATTAAATGGAGTGTCTACCATTGAATTATCAATAAGTTTAACTGTATTAATAGGGGCTCAACGTTACCAAGCCCCATCATTACACAAAGACAGCTAAAACGCAAATGAAATCAACTCTAAAGTCATTTTATAAACGAAACCTGCCAACGAAACTCCAAATAGGGGACGAGAAGTTTGAATAAAAACCTCATTCCCATCAATGTGGGAATTAGGACAGGTGTTTTTAAAAGTGGTGATGCTGTTTCCGTTATTATTCTTGATTTGATTTCATCAGTATAACAGACACTTTAGACTAAACATAACCTTGATTTTAAACAAAAAATAACGTTACACAATCGTATTAGTGAAAGGCTATGATTTCTTTATTCTTGGAAAATCACGGTTTTTAATCAAATGACCTCGGCAGGGGGTGAGATGGTCGTAATTTCTACGACAATCTCTTAACATAGTCCTGAACGATTCAAGCTAGCGTAGTAGAATAAGAGATAATAAGGAATCTTATAAATCGAGCGGAACACTACAAGATATTAAACGTCTCAACAGTGACACAACAAACTGAACATAGCCACAACATTTAATTAGCATGTACCAAGACTGTCCTCAACAATACAGTATTCCTATAATATGATATGTGTATATTATGTGTATATTATGTGTTACATATTATAGGAGAAGGTTTCACACATCCCACTCACACGTGTTATTTCAAAGGGCCATAACTTTAGTAACATGCACGACACACGTCTTTAGTATGTAAATATATAGTCGTCTATACTAACTACCCAGTGAACATCTGTTGCTACAAGAGCCCATGCTTTGCCACGGTTTGATAAATGATCTTCTGGTTCTACGGGCCAATCCCTAATAAAAACAAAGACACCCATAAGATACTATCCGCGCTAATGAAGCTTAGGTGATGACAAATTAAAGTACCTGTTCTACCTTTTTGGAAGCTAAATGAGGCTCACAAGTTCAAACTAAAATATCATCAACCTACTTTTAAGAGAGCTCTTGGGCGTGGCTAAAACTAAAGGAAACTAGAGCAAATGTAATGTTTACAAATTACTGAGCTACCAATTAAGTTACTGAAAATATATTATTCCCTTGGAAGAAACTGGCTCCCCTAATTCGTCCTACACAAAATTAGGCACAAGGTACAAATTGGTAATAATGGTTTAATAGTCCTCTAGAGATTGATCACGAAGTATATATAATACTTTGTGATCAATTTCTAGATTGATCTAGAATTAATATATCTTATTAACAATTAAGAGTGCTAAGAAGCTCATTTATTGAAAGGGAAATCTCTAATTAACTGTCCCGATTATTAAATAGGCACAGGGTACAAATTGATAATAATGGTTTAATAATCCTCTAGAAATTGATCACGAAGTATATATACTTTGTGATCAATTTCTAGATTGATCTAGAAATAATATATATTATTAACAATTAAGAGTGCTAAGAAGCTCATTTATTCAAAGGGAAATCTCTAATTAACTGTCCCGATAATTAATTAGTTTTATCGGTTAAAAATACGAGGAAATTCAAATACCGTTATTAATCAAGTAAATAAACGTTAATCGGGGAGAGATTTGGCCAGTCCCACGTATAGTACAGCATAGATTGTCCAATGCTGATCTATTAAATTCACCTAATGAACAAAGTAAAATTTCTGCGAAATCCAGTCATTTCCAGACATTAACAGATAAACAACATTATTTATTGTCAGATTCTTGGTATTTATCCTTTATAACTATATAATAGTGAATCCCTACTTTGTAAAAGATAAATAGGGATCATGCTTAACTTTATAAAGGAGCACGCTTAACTGCAGTTAATTTAAGTGAAGTTGAGAAGTTACTGGAAGTGTCGGCAAATCATACTACAACAATCAAAATATTATGATAATTTAATAATGTAACAATCATATACTACAGTAACGATAGTAAATACTATAACTTCTTAGTTTGTTAACATAAGCCTGTGGTTACCACTACCTCACTACCCGCCTAGCCTGAAACAAGTTCTATTTAAAGTTTTAGAAAACACAGTGCTCAAGTTAACAACAGGCTGTAACATGTTAAACCTGCCCTAGACCTTCATGCTGCCTAACCAGTCACGTCCTTTTATTTATTATATAAATGATCCACAGTAAGTTAAGTAAGTTAAGTACAAGTTTCGTGGAAGAGGTCCTGCCTTATAAAATAACAACGAAACGAAATTTTAAATTTCCTAATGTTAAAAAAACATTTCACACGGTCACCGGTCTGAATAAATTACGGTTTGAAATATTACCAATCTGGCTCTATCAGGTACTAAATTTATAGTGTCACTATAGAATTTGGGCAGTTTCCAAGAAGCCCGACACAGCTCTGTAACATTCCACAGTGTATAATTGAAGTTTCTGAGAAGCCCGACTAAGTGAAATTCTACAGTGGAACTCCATCGAAATATGTCACGATGGAATAATATACCCTAAAATATTCCCTAAACACAACCCTAGTCCCCTGTAATATGCTCCGATGCAATTTTAATGAGCACTTTTGGGCTTCAATTTCTCGATCATGTTTAAACTTTTTCTAGGTTTTTTTTTTACCGTTACCGTACAGATAAAACGGCGAATAAATGAAAAAATAGAGTGAAAAAGGGAACTTTTGAAAAAAGGAAACTTTTATTGAAATACATTTTACCGAGAAAAAGCAATTCGCTGACGCTCGTGTTTATTTTATTATAGGACCACTAAGTTCTGTTTGTGATCTAGTTAGTGTTAAACATTTAATTAATAACTTTAAAGCCTAATGTACGTCAAAATCTGAGGATATAACTTAAACCATCCTTGTTTGCGAGAAAAGCCTTATCTGACAAATTGATACTTTTAGTAAATTCCAATTTCAGCCGTGTGACATATAGCTTATGACGCAGAGCTGAACCATATTAATCAACTTATCAAACTTATCCTTGCTGCTTGGAATGAACTTTTTTTAATTGAAGAGACAGTACTCGGCACTGACGCCTTGAAATGTTTAATTACAATCAATTTACAATTTACAATATATAAATATAACACTATCAAGATATTAAAATAGTTCTTAATATCTTTTAAATTAATTTCGAACAGTGACACAGGGTCTGAAAATGCGCACAGATATTTTATCAAGAAAATGGCAGTGACATTGTAAAAAAGCTTCTCCTCAATACTAATATATAACTAGAATAAAAGGGACAAATAATCTCTAGATTCTACAAAGAAAAAGCCTTTAAAAAACCTCCAAACAACTATAATATTACATTATTAGGGTTACGATCCAGAAAGACGCTTCTAATCACACAAACTCGCCGCTTTTATGAGAATCTATCACAATACAGGAGGTAGTCTTTAGCAAAAGAGACAATAAGAAGTACTAAACAGATGAAAGAGTAAAGACGAGACCAAAATCTGTCAGGGTTATAATACAAATGGGGCAGTGTAATAGCAATTAACAAAAACACGAGAATATATCACTTAAACACGAGAACCGGGCCATTATGGGCTACTCATTACTCAGTAATACAGACAAAAGTTACCAAAGACACGATAATATTATGTTAGTAACACATCCATACTATTTGTTTGAAAACAGTATAGTAACCTAACATGACTTCACTAACGATAAACACTGAAAGAAAATAAAACGGTTTACTCCCTTTATGCCCTTAGCTGAGAGAGATCTGATTTTTAACTGCCTATAACATGTGAATAATGTATCATAATATTGTTAATATGCAATGTGTATATTATAGTATAATATACACTATGTAATTTGTAGTTATACACAATGTATTATGTATAATGGCTTACAGGGAGGGGGTGGAGTCTAAATCGGCCAACATCTTGCTTGCCTAATATAGTAATATGTGATCCACAAGGAACAAACACTCGAAGAAATATAAACAATGCTGCACAGAGTAACCTTATATCTTTATTTAAATCAAATGCAAATTATGTCTATCGCGCTGTTCTTGGTGGCACCTGGTACAAGGTTACGTTACTTTATAACGTAACTATTAAATTAGTTAAATTATTAAATAATTAGCAACTGAACTGCAGATTTGATTATCACGTTGTCTCATAGAGATAAAACTGTGGTTCAGCTGATAAAATCGTAACTGGAAACGCTATTATGTTCGATTACAAGCTCACGGTAGTTTTTGACGCGACTTGTGCTTTTCTGCTAATGTTTTACCCCAATTATGCGGTCCTTAAGACTTTATCTGTAGGTCACGTGTTCGTTTCCCGTTTTATTCTCCACTTGTTATAAATTCTTATTATTTTAACAACTATTTTAAATTCTTAGCCGTTTCTCTAGGTCTTGTTAATTGGATAGTTCAGGACTACGTAAAATTATCTTTAAGTTAGAACAACTAATTTAACGACTATTTAAAGCTTGTTATATAGATAGTGTCAGTATAATATAATAAACGTAAATATTTTCGAGAGTAAAACGTCTACGAAGCTGCTAGCTTAGCAGTGCTGCAAGAAATGAATTATCAAATTATTCCTGGTGTATTTAGAGAGCATCTCACCGGTCATGGTTATCTAACTTGGTCAAACAACTTTATCAAACATTTTTATCAAACAACTGTCATAGTCATACGTCATGACGTATGACAACACCAGCTGGGTTGTGGTTTTGATTTCGATAGACATAAATCCAGAGAGATAGCATGTAATTACATGACAAATCCCGCCTAATTCAAACAATTAAATCTCGAAATCACCAATTAACACAATATTACAAAGTAACTCAATACGAGATGACTAAACAATCTCTCTTCACCAGGCTGTCGAGGAGCTATTCCCCGGAGAAGATGTGGACATTATCTACGACTGGGAGCTCCAAACAAACTCGAGACTACCCAAAATAAACATGTCAACTGCGGGTCACGCGGCGGGACAAGCGTTTTATAACCGGCCTGAGGAGATCTCGACGCCTACTTGGGAGCAGACTAAAAAAATGTTTGGGTGCTCTATTAGTCCTAAATACAGCGGATGGTTTGGGTTAGTCACGATTAAAGATTATTCTCGAGAATACTGGAGATAATTGTATTTTTGAGAATCTGGTAAACTGTTATTGGATGATGGTACAAATTATTGTCCTCAGTCGTCGATGCAATTAAGATTCTAGTATGATCAAAGGATTCAAAATCACACGATGAGAGACAAAACTGCTTAATTCTCATGCAACCAATATGATTGTTATTGCATAATATTGCACTAATGTTCTTTCAAAATATTAAATATTATGCCACGTTGGCATTTAATATCTATATTCTATATTTAAATAACATACAAGGTGTCCCAAAAAACACGAAAAATTGATTTTTGTTAACAATTTTCCAATTAACGGCTTCCCACTCCGCGACGCGAGGCATGTGTTGTCATGTTCCGAAATCTGTGTCAAAGGTAAAAGGCAAAAATCCATCAGGAACCCCCGTTCATTAGGTATACGTAATTGTCTTTGAAATAGAGAACGCTTATAGAGCCGATGTTACCGGTCTTATTCAATCTATTGCACAAAGAAACAAAAACAAACTCGACTACCAATCTTTCAAGATTGTAACTCTTTCATTAGTTTTCCGGCAGCCCGCACAATCAACACGTGACATAAATTCAACGACATTCATGTGAGATTTTCGGATCAACCCGCCCGGCGCCCACTGCCCAGCTTGCTAGGTTACTAGGTTACTAGGTAATCACCTGATCAACTGGACAATAAAAACACGCTACTTGATGGCTAACAGGACAAAAGGATAACGCGGACTAGGTTTAATTCTCAAGCTGTGGTCATCAGATCTATATATCATTAGAATTGACTATGACTGCAGTAGAATTACCATAATATTAATAATTAACATGTTAAACATTCTTATTATACTATTATCATACTATTATTATACTATTATAAGTAAGGTTTGCAGTTGGCCGGCACACCAAATAAAAGAGATAAACCTCTCGAATGACGTTCTGTGCTCCACTAAATAACAGCATATATAATTCACCGGGGTAAGCTTACGGTTATATTCCCTATATTGGTTTCAAACAAATCGCTTTTAGCCCTATAATAAGAAAGTCAAAAGCAATTTTGTTTTTTTTAATGCTGGATTTCTCTACTTTTTAAAACAATTTAAAAGACGGAGTTCTTAACTATAATAAACTACGTACATGAACGCAATATTGTTTGATCCATGACGGATTATAGATTATAAATCTGTAAAGCGAGTAGCCGCGTGTGGCTCTAATAAGCTAATACGAACACTACTATTTATTGTGTCCAGTACATGGTAGCGCGGTTAGGGAGCTACAAGTTGAGTTGGCAATCAATAACTTATTGTTGAACTGAAAGCTGTAGACAAGATGTTTATTGCAGGGTGTTAAAATACCCATACGATAAATAATACCGCAGACAACCTTATTTTGAAGTTCACTCTAGTATCAGCTCATTTCAAAGTCTTTGAAATGCGTTCACTGCAAGAAGTGTGAACTGCACCCCTACTATCAGCAGCAATAAAAGATATGGCTTGCAACCTCTTTAAAGCGAGCCCTTTCTTCGTTTGGCATCACACAATCTTCACTTTGTAAATATAATATAAATAATATTGGACAGTTTAATTTTAAAATTTGTACCACGTCCTTTTAAGATGAACAAGAGGCCTACAACTTTTACATGGCCTCCAAACTCCAAAGGTCATACCCGACACTCGCTGGGAATAATATAAGACATTTCCAAACAATTCTAGAGTTATTTTAAAAAATGACTTGTTCGTGTTTTTTTGGTAGTAGTATATAGCTATATAGTATATAACGACTACAAGTTCCTCTCCTCCCAGTTACCGAGCAGTGTTAGTATTCAAGAACCACCAGGACGACACTATACAATATCTGCCACCCCACGACGCGGTGGAGACACAGGAACAGAAAACTAAGCTCATGGAGTGTTTTAACGGTGACTGGAAGGACCCAGCCTGGAGAGATATCGTGTTTACTGGTCAGTAGTTTCTTATTGTGAGACACTGCTGTGGGGATTATAACTTATCACCACTACTCTAGAGAGAGAGAGAGGCCACTCCTCTATGTCCTTGTTTTGTAGTTTAGCTTTAGAGGCTTGGAACGCATGGGCAACTCTTATCTAAATTACTCTAAGTCAAAATTATACTATCTACCTGCTTTAAACACAATCTGAACTTATACAAAGTGGGATTCCTGCTCATAAAGACTGAACAAAAGGGAGAACCCAGATGATCAGTACTATTATAAATATAAAGCTGGAGTTGTGTGCCGTTATTTTCACTAATCACACTTAAGTTTCTAGCATAAGGTGTTGCTGCTGTATTATAATACAACTACTTTCTCCCTTTGTCTACTGCGATAAGGACAGTAGGATCATTGTAATATTCAAACTCATTCGTCAAACTCGTGCAATATATTATTGAGCAAATATATGTGTCGGTGTTATTAGTTACCGAATCGTACTGCAAGGTCTTGACATTATCATAGACAAGATACCGATGGAACTAATTTGATCCCGAATTTCACGACAGCACAGACCCTAGTAAAAAACGTGATATCTCGGCTTATTTCGATTTAGCTGAAATTGAATGATTACGGGAAATCCACATAATTGACATACACAAGATACATTATACATTATACATTATACACAATATACATTCTTATCCTGCTCTATTAAACTGTTTCAGATAAAAGATACAGTGTAGAGCAGCTGGATTACTTTAATACTCTTCCTGCTGACCGCATCCCTAAAGTAAAGGCTTTAATGGACACATATAACGAAGGTGACGAGTCAAAGAAAGAACTTTAGTCTATACTACGAGAAACTGAGAAAATATAAGTAATATTTTGACAATTATTAACTTTATTTTCGTGCTGTATTTAAATATTAACTTTGTTTTCATGCAGTAGATTTGAATTGTTTTATCTCAGTGGATAAATTATTTTGTAATCAAAATGAAGGAAGATGGATGGCATTGTCTTTATATTTCATGATGTGACAATGTCAAAGTGAGCATGGGAAGGTAGTTGTTTTGACGCGTGAAACCTTGATTCATTGATTGGTCGAATGCTGTCACGAGTTAATATTATACAAATATGTTCCGCCTTCCCAGATGTTTTCAAGAGTGTTATCGTTCGTTCGTAATTTATTTCTTATATTCTCGTTTAAGTGCGTTTTAAGATTTCCCAATTATTCGCATAAAAATAAATGTCTGTCATTTTCCTCTACAGCTATCTAGAAAAGCTTCCAACATGATTTAACTGTTATCACACATATAATTTGCTATAACAACATGTCCTACTTACTAACTAGTTTTTAATAATCCAGATAACCCTAATAATAAATAATAATAACAAATAAAACACATCCTAGTAGTGTAACCATGTCACTGTGCACGTGTGGCGATGTTGGAGTGTACAAGTGTCCCCGGTGTGAGCTCCCCTACTGTTCACTATCTTGCTACAAGGGACATGCTCACACTCAATGTTCAGAGTCCTTCTACAAACAACAGGTTATAGATTAGTTGCAGTATTTATTTCCACCTAGATGTAGCGTTTAGAAATTTGTTTGTTTAACTATATAACTAATAACCCATTACTCGCCAATTTGGATATATAATATTTATAACACTTATTCGTTAAGTAACAATTCAAATAATTTGAACGTATAGTTACATTATAAACCTTATAAACTTACAAAGTTTATAGTTATAACACGTAATTTGTAGGTAGAAGAGGAGTTGAGAGAGAGGTCTGTTACAAAAGAAGAACAAGATAGAATGTTAGAAGTACTACAGAGAGAGCATACCCACTCTTCTGATGAAGGTATCTAGATACTGTATAGAACTATAGAGCACATCTTCGTTTATAAACGAAGATTTCAAAAATATAAATTTTCAAAAGTTTAAATACTTTTGAAACACTGATTGATCATTGATTATGGCAACATTTAAATTTGTTTTCGAAATTTGGGAATGTTTTATAATCTGTATTCTCAGAAGACGAAGTTGATTTGAAGGAACTGCTACAAGGTATGGAGATTAAGAGTGAAGAAGAGTTATGGGGGATGTTAACTGAACAAGAACAACAAGGGTTCATTAAAAGTATCAAGACAGGTACGCACTGCTTTGTAGATATATCTGTTGATTCTAAGTGTTTTAATTCAAATGTTTTCGCCATTAGGAGAAGATTTCTCTGATCATTCATTATTGATGACATCATTATTCACGTTTAGAGACATTTCTCATAAAAATATAAGTAAAATTCATCTTCAGTGAAACAGCTGTCAGTTTTGAACAAATCTGCGAAATCACCAGTTTCCGCGGTTCAGTTCCGGTATGTTTTTGCCATATATCTGGACGCGATCTCCGAACGACATAATTATATAGAAATGGAATTTGTTTTCGCGCTAAAGCATGGTTGATCGCGCACCAGACAACTGCAAGACCGCGTTTTTCAGAAATTTTGCGTTCGTTGTCTATTTTACTCACATGATTTATCTCAATGTCACCAGGATCTATCACAACGTTACTCAAGCCTAAAGAATTCTGGTGGACCAAAGATAATGTTGTGTATAAGCCTACTAAAACAGCAAAATTTGAAGACCTCTGCTCAAAGGAACCCTCCATTCACATGAAATATCTTCTCTTGCACGTGAGCAATCTCATCTTCATGAGCTTCAGAGTCTAACATCTAAATGTTATAATGATTCAATTCTTATGTTTATGAAGATTCAATTCTTATGTCTGTAAAATACATGTTCGCCTCATAACTAATTATTCCGACCTCTCCCCTAAGAGACCATGTAGTCTGAGTAAACACCTCCAAACTAACGACCTCTCCCCGCTATCTCACGTTTATCTGCACCAGGTGATCATGTCGTATGTGCACGTGGAGCTGATACACCCTCTCAGAACAGACCTTGTCCCGGAATATTGGGCTGTTTTCACTCAATTGTGGTATTGGAAGAGTCCTAACGTGTTTATCACTGCCGAGGCTGCGTGCATCGCCCACACTGATATAGCAAACAGTGCTGGTAAGTTCTCTTGTGTGACTTGCTTTCGAGCATATTGTTTCAAAGTAGTATTGAATGATAAAAACTAACTATTACTAGCAAGGTCATATTTACTGCATCGAATATATATTTTTCCATTCTTCGTAATTTAGTATATGTAGATTGAGTCTTGAAGCTTCAATCTCACATGTTCAACTGATTGCCTGGTTGAACGACCACCGAGGATTTGTTACCGAACGGCGACCTAGTTTTAGTCATAGCTATAATTATATTGTGTACAGACCCAGTTGCATCGGTGTCTATATAGTTGTTTCTGGTCATGAATAGACTTTGGATATGTAAAAGTGATTTGTAAGTTCTTGCATGCATTACATCCAGCAATAATCTTTTTTGAAAAAGAAATAAAATTAAACTTGTAATAATAATAATACACAGGAAAAAAATCATCCGCTGCTACCAAGTCATGTTGATGACATAAACCAAAATCGGCAGAGAAAACAATCGTAAAGCTTTATAGTTTATAGTTAATTGAAAAAATATTAAGAACTGATCTTCTTAGACGATAGGCAGCGTAAGCAGATTAATTATTATATTCATGTTCAATCATCGCAAGGCTCGTCATTGTGATTCGATCGTAAATGCTTGATTATACCCCTGGTCAACTTAACGCCGATGAATTCATCTGAAAATTTGAGTGTTAGACCGAGAGGGGTTGCTACTAAAGGTCCTGATGAGATGAATTTATGAATACGTGATCTTATTTACGTACAAAACACGATAAGATACAGGTAATTGAAAAACATTTGAAAGTGAAAACTGTAAATTGTAAAAAAAACATTTACTTACCGAACAAGTCAAAAATATCTCTCTGTTCGCCGCACTCCGCCTTGTTAACATCATGTTTTCTAAAGTGGTCTATAACGTTATCAGTGAGATTCACGCCAACAAACTCATCTGAAACAAGAGAATGTTGCATTGCGACTTGCGTTAGTTAATGACCGACAACTAGGAACCTCTCATTCCGGGCTCCCACAGTTGTCACATCACCCAATCAGTGACGTATCATTTGTGATGTGATCCATATTATAACCATCCTAACAGCCGGACAGCCAAGAACCTGGGTAGGGTTCACAATTCACATGACAGTTTAGTAAGTAGCTGTGTATTGTGAAGTATATTAAGAAGTTTTTGAGCTCTAGGCATGTGTTCACATAACGGCCGTGACTCGTGAGCCAGGTCACGTGTGGCAGTGCAATTGTTTCATATTCTAGCTCAAACTAATTAGATCTCCTTCAAAGTTTTAAGAACAATTTCAAAGTTTGGCACCGGTAGTCTCTTAATAAGTTTCACTTCTTTGTGTTTTCAGTCTCGACATTCCCTCATCGCATCATGACTAATATGCACTGAGTACTATAGGGCTACTGGGGAGGAGTTTGTTGACATACCACCACTATTGTGCACCAAAGAAATATATCCATTATATTGGTTCCGATGTAATGAGGGACAGTCTAAACTTCAAAAGTTTGAGAGTTCAACAGCTGCATTGTGCATAACTATTGTTATGCAGCTGTTACGTACCGACTCAAAAAAGGCTGAATCCCCGCCTAGAAAGAAAACTCATCTCACAGTTTTCTTAGTAACACTAACTGTGTTTTGGAAGAAAATATGACCCACCATACACACAACGTATCTCCAGAGGTTCTTAGTTGTAGGGGATATGTAATGATTGGTTTTTAGTTGTCGGAGCTGATTGGATTTCCCAAGCTTGCATGTCAATGAGTTAACTAGGTATAATTGCCAGGTTCCTAGTTGTCCGTCAGCCTGACGGACAACTAGGAACCTGGCAATTATAGGCTGGATCATTAATTTTTGAGCAACTACTTTTACTTTTGCATAAAAGTTTTGAAACGCATAGGATCCCATTGTCTGTTGCTATAAACGATAATCCAACAGAAACTTAATTACGTTAAAACTGCACTGATTTGGGACTGGCCGGAAAGTGCCAGGCAATGCTTATTGAATAGAAATTGAAAAGAATGTATTATTATTAGAAACATACCTGGTTGAATAATGAATACTTTACAAAGCTACTAAGTACTAACCTAGTAAATCCCAAGATTTACACGAAGACTTCAATTCCTCAAGAAGTTCCTCAGAGAAAACGTTGTTGAAATAGGGCTCAGTATATAGAATATCCCACCTCGTGATGTTGCTGAACTTCCTCGCCCCTTTCAACTGAGATTTAGTGTCTGTTAATTCTGCAGAGCATGTGTTAGATCTGGTGACTTCAGACTCCAGGCTCACTTTAGTTCTTTGTAACTCTTCTTCAGTCCGGTTACATCTGCCGGTTACAGACTCCAGGCTCACTTTAGTCCTACTCAGCTCTTCTTCAGTTCGGTTACGTCTGGTAGTTTCGGAGTCCAGACTAACTCTAGTTCTCTCTAGCACATCTACAGCTCGGTTTAGTCGCCCTGTTACCGTTTGTAACTCTCCCTGTGTGCTATTCAATTCACTGGTGACAACTATGAGCTCATCTTTTGTCCTGTTTAGGTGAGTAGTTACCGTATGTAAATCGTCCTCAGTTGTATTGAGTTTTCCAGTGACTGCATCAAATTCTTCTTTCATCGCATTTAGTTCTTCATTCATTGCATTTAGTTGCACTTCTTTTTCATCGAGCAGCATCATTATGATTTTCCTATATCCTGCATCACACGCAGTTACTTCAACAACAGACCCAGTTCTTGATTTGGCTAGCACATCCTCCCAGCGAAGTTGTCTGCTGCTGATAGTCTCCTCTACTTCGGCACACAAACCACCATCTGCTATTCTTTTTATTGTCTCTGAGCTAAGGATTTTATTATAAAGATTAAATCTGTATAATTGACCACCAAAGATATGACCACTATAGACAGAGTTACCAATTTTACCAAACCACACAGTCCCGCTAGTGTGCAGTTGTCTCCCGGATGAAGTCTGGCCGCTAGCTGCTAGTTCCCCGTCCAGGTAGAGCTGAATAGTCCGTGAGGAGGAGGACCAAGTCAAACAATAATGGAACCATTGTCCGACTGGGTAGTGAACTTACTCTGTGAGTCCTCTAAAACCATATCATCTAGTACTCTGTTGAAACTCCCGTCAGATGCAGTCAGTATCTCGTAATAACTGGAACTTGTCTGGTAACTAAACACGACTGGGTAGGTGGATGAGGTGTACACTCTCTTTATCCATGTACACAGGGTGAAAGAAGTACGGAACGGGGACATGTCGTAGTTAAAGCTTATGTAGTCGTTTGTAGTGGTCCCAAACTGCAAGGCAGTGTACTTTCTATCCACCGCGTTGGTTACGGGAGATACAATGCAGATTGTGAGAACGAAAAGAAGCAGCATTGCGAAAAGTTTCAAGTCAGATATAAAACGTGGGTTGATTTCTCGGGACTACAAGGTTAACAGTAAAATGTAATCTAGAGAATCTGTGGAGCTAGAGTTATTACTGCAAGTGTGAATTTGGACTGAACCGGAAAAGTGTTAGCGTTATATAATCGAGCAGGGTGGCACGACTCCGTCCAGCTGGCATGAACCAGAAACCTGACGATTTATCTTACATATTCTGATATTTATCTTACATATTCTGTATGTTAATACCAGGATTCACCCCAAGTTCAGTAACATGAAATTCTGATAACATTACTCTCGAGTGATTTGTGGACTTCTTATAATTATTATGGTCTAGAATGTTATCTCAGATGCTACTTTACTCGATAAATTAAAGATATTTTGAGTTAAGTGGCGCAGTTCCAACTTTTTCAAAATTAGTTAAAACATATTGCGAAATTTTCAAAATGCGCGTTATTTAGCTAAGGAGAAAAGTGTTAGTAGATGTGCTTTGTGCTATGGTACAAGTCACATGACTTAGGTATCTCATTAGGAGGCTCTAGCTTTGAATTAGTAATCTGACCAGATGAATATCTGACAGGACTTAGATCAGTAAACCCCCGACTTAATATTTACTGCAACACAAGTTGATTTATTAATAGCTACTTAATAAATACATATTTTAGGAATTGCAACTTGCCTCCTAACGAGTCCAGGCTTATCTTCCTCAGCACTCACACTGTAACTGGGCTTCCATGATACAAATGTACAATGTACATGTAGTACAATGTACATTGTACATGGGTAGTAAGTCGCACCCTAGTTTCATGAGTTTCCATGGAGGCCCTTGATAATAAACTATAATAAAATGTGAAGTTGTTCTTGTGAAGGTTTGGTTAAGTTTCCCCTCTCTCTAGATGATAATTTGCAGGGTTACAAGATTTCGTACCGTTGAGTGGAGTGTTCGAGAACACTTGCAAGCTCCTGAGACACGGACCGCTAGCAGTGGAGAGAGTTTGTTGTGAACTTATCAGAATCCTGACTAAAGTCCACAAAACAACTCCTTGTAAGTTAGACTTGTTAGTGTTGATGTTACTAATTTATGTGCATTATATGCACATATGTTGTCTAATAATAAGTGTTAGTACGTTTTGCTTCTACTCCTTGTAGAGCTCTATGTGGTGTACAAATTTCTGAACGAACACTGTTGCTAATAACCACTTACAATGCTAATAGCCACTTACAATGTTTATCAATTTTGTGTGAAGTAGTTCTTACATACTTAGTGCATATTATGTTACACCTTTTGTCATATATCCTCGTTTTTAGTCTTCATTATTTTCGTTAACGTTTGTAATTGTACTTGTATTCGTACAATTATGTGTTGTACAATTGTACAATCGCATTTGTAATTGTATTTGTAATAAATTACTGCAGTAGAAAAGGGAGAATACACGAAGATAAAGAAGAAACTGCAGTTCTATTCCTCCTGGAGTTTATCAAAACACAGCAGTTCTTTAGCTGTACTCGCTCTGGAGTTGCAAGTTTACATCACCAAACTTAACAGTGATACCAGAAAGTTTACCGCAGATCTTGACTCTGGTACGTGTTGCTTCAAACTTTACCGACATTTTCTAAATATTTCGTGACTGCTAACCCCTCTTTTCTCTACAATATGTCTCGCTTTTGTCAATAATTCAATTCTGGAATGCACCGCCCACCGGATTTTGCTGCGGTGAAATTATTTTCTTTGTCTTCTCAGGCTGCAAGGCTGAGAAACATACGAGACCACTGATAGAAGAACTAGAGAGCTGAATCCCAGAGAGAGAGAGAGAGAGAGAGAGCAGCTACGTACGTCTGCTATCCATTATTAACAGCTAGCAGCTGGTACACGTGTTGATTATTACTCGTGCACTGGTTGTTGTAATTACTCCCTCACTGATTGTACTGATTGCTGCTATTTTGTTGGATTTTATCATGTTTGTCTAGTACTTTTCTAGTAGATTTCAAGCACTAACCTAATGAGGGGATGGTAATCAAGAATATTGCTCCTTAGTATTTAGTGGTTACGATTCAGCTGGCTGGCCATTTATGCGACTATTAATTTGTATATAGGTAGGTAGGTAGGTAGAAATCAAAGGAGTATTTATGTATTTATAGAGGTAGGTAGAGTAGAAATCAAAGAAATACAAATTTAAAATTATACCAATTTCTCCCAAATTTTGAATAATTTTGAATACAGATGGCACATAGTGCCATCAACTGAGCTACAACGAGGTTCAAAGCCACAGCTATAAAAAGTGGGGGTAGAACAGTTTTAGAATTTGCTAGCACAGTATTAATCTGAATCATCTTTGTTCCAATATCACGATTCACGTCGTTCTTACCTGCTAAATTACAAACTCACAAAGTCTAGTGAATTGTAAATGTTTTGTGTTAAATATAATTCTACCAGCAATCATGCCATAACAACGATACGTTGCGGGATTGTTTCGACTGTTTCTACTAATTGAATCATGATGAGCATCATATCTTAGACGGATATCCTTTATTATTCCTTTATTATTCTTTTATTCCTTTGTTATTCCTTTATATTTCTATTAATACTACGACATAATATCCTATACTATCCCTGCATTTAAAACGTTATAGTAACTCCTCATGACCTGATAGCTTCTAAAACGGTGTAAAACATAGTGTGTGTGTGTGTGTGTCGTTCTGTCGACTTGTATAAATTATCAATCTTAGTATACACTTGTACTTAGCTATTTTATTCAACGTTTCACGTATAAGTATAATATAGCAGTAACCGTATTACTATTTACTCGTCATAACTCATAACCATACCCCTTGCAACACAGTATTGTGTCATAGAGGTGAACTGTCCTTACAGCTAGTTATCTAGCTAGTTTCTTTGTCTCAACACCTGGTCTCAACACTTTAAGTTCGTCCAGCTTCTTCCTCCGATTATCTTACTCTGATTCCAGTCCGTTGTTAGACTTCTCAGTAGTTAGCGTTTTGTTTTTCAGAATATCCACAATTAGATAACTTAACATCTGGGGAATCATGTGTCTTTTGTTTTACGTCAGTTAACATTACAATATAATATTATAGTTGACGAATATCACAGATTCAACATGAACCACTGTCCGTGTTTCTATAGAAACCGGGTGACTTGCGAATTACCCGCGACAAAAGAAGCTCGTCAAATATTTATTTGGAGAGTATTTGTGAACAGATCGGTGGATTTATTGAGCCGATCTTATACACCTGCTCGTACTAGCATCTGGTCAGTGTTGAGACTAGAATGACATCGTAATTCCCCTTAATGTTGATTTACTGTATTTCTTTCCTTTTATCGTCAAGTTCTCTTATTCTCACTCTTGTATAGGCTCAATTCCATAATATTTCCTGCGTGGTATGTAACGCAGATGTTCGGTCTTTTTTCAACATCTAGCTAACTACCAACATGTCACTATCTGATAGCCGATTGCTCTGTGGTATGATATTCAGGAATATTCCTATAGGCTTGTGTCGTTGTCTGTTTGTAATGTTTAGTTAGTTTATTTTTTATATTTATGATGATGGAGGCGGAGAGGGAGGGGGGGGGGGGCTGAGACTTCATCTCCTCCCCTGAGGTTTGATTTACAAAATTATAGGTCTGTTATACATATTTTATGACACGTATTTAGCTATGTTAATTAAGTTAACTTCCTACCAGGTAAGTAAGTACAATGACTACTGATACCTACTCACTGGAGATGAGAGACAAGTACTCTGTGGACCTTGACGTGACAGCCAGAGTGTTCCTAACCCTGCTCTCAGTCCTCACTGTAATCTGTGGAACTGTGGGCAACTTCCTGGTCTGGTACGGCTCCATATTCCGCTCTGCTATCAGGATGGAGCCGTGTTCCCGGGTCCTGATAACCAATCTGGCCCTCTCTGATATCGTCATCTCCCTGCTCCTCTTCCTCCTCTTGCTATGACCCTGGGGGCCGGTAGGTGGGTTCTGGGGGACTCTCTCTGTCAGTTTCAGGGAGTTGCTATCCAGATAGCCATGTGTCTGGAGATCTTCATCATGATGTCCCTTAACTGTTACAGACTCTGGGCAGTTCGTAAAACACCAGGAGACAGGGACAAGGTTAAAGTTTGGCAGATTTACTGTTACCTGGGGGTGGTGCTGCTGGTTTGTGGCAGTCTCCCTCTGGTTCACACTGCCATTAGTAACGGAGAATTTCGGACTGATTTTGATAATAGAGTGGGGATCTGCCGGCTGTTTCTGGTAAGAGACTACAAGCATAACATCCTCGACATGTGCTATCTAGTTCCTCCTCTAGTCATATCCATTACTGCCAGTAAAGTCCTCAAGTGTATCCTGTGTTACTCTTCACAGAGATCTGGTAGTGGCAACCCAAAAACACAGAGAGCCATATCTCTTGTCTGCTGGGCCATGATTATATCCTATCTTCCTTGCTACATAATTCTGGTTTGGGAGATTGCACAGTCTAGCATTCCTAATGCAGCATACTTGGCCCGGGCCTTTATAATGTCCATCAACCTGATGGTGAATCCTCTAATCTACTTCATATATAGTTCAAGCTTTAACAGCTTTGTGAGGACATTCTTTTCGCTGGACATTAGAAGAGAGCGAGGTCAATTGGCAACTGATTCTGCACAGGTTCCTGAAACTTCCAAAGTGTAGAATATGAAATGGGTTTTGTTCTAATTTTTAATTGTTATTTCATTTATTTATCTAATTTACTAATGTAAAAGTGGTTTTCAGTTGCTCCACAAACGTTTACCTTTCATGATTTATCAAACTATCAAAGAATTGCACCAAGAATTTCGATTTTACCATACCGGTCCATATTAGTTAATTCCTGACTATCCTAATTGCTGATACTAAATACTAATGGATATGTGTCTCCCGGAAGAGAATGAGCACACAAATGTTACGATAAAATCTGATACATATCACATAATATATGCTTAGAGTGTTTTATTAGCTTATTATTAACTTAGCACGCTCGGATCCCGCCTAGCATGAGAAGTGGGCCGGGCTGCGTCTGAACACATGTAATAATAATATCGGGCACGAAGATTTAATTATATTTATAAGGAGAAATCAAACTGAAAACGAATGCGCGCAAAGAGAATGGCGAACTACTCAACTAGGTAAAGTGCAAAGTGAGTCATTGGGAATGGGATCATTTGTTGTTCATCTTTCAGGGAAATTTTACCTACCTGTCACCAAGATGTAACTAGGTCGAAGGGAAAATTATGTCTCACGCAGGAATTAGGTCTCAAGCAGGCGCGGCTTTTAATATATTTATATATATCACGCGCCTGCGTAAGACCTAATTCCTGCGTGAGACCTAATTTCTCCGTTCGACCTTGTACGTTTATAACCTACCAGGACGCGCGCCGAGTTAGACTCGTCGACGGTCCTAAAACAAATATTTTACGAGTATCGTACCCGTTAAAGTTAGACCTAGTTACATCTTGGTGACAGTTAAACACTGCTAAGTTTGACACAATTTGCTCTTCTCGCGCACGGGATTAGGATGTGTCCACTCATAACCCATGTGTCTTCCGAAACAAGCGCGTCACGTAGTTGGTAGTACGCGAAGGCACATGGGTAGAGCATAAAGAAAATGTATGGACAATGGAACGTATAGCAATTTCACATAATTATAACCATGAGTCTTCGTGTACTACGTGGCACGCGAGGGCTCTAGTTATATTAGAGCAATGTAGCAATGCTTTAACTTGCTAAGGGACCATCCACTTGACCATCTAAGCCGAAGTACATGATACAATTGCAATATGTATGTTAATATACTACAGCACAAGGACGTCCGGCAAAAAGTTCACCTAACCATTTGTAGCGCGATGCGTTACTGTGCCGCGCCGCGCACTCAATGAGGCTTCTCACAGCGACATCTCTAGATCGGCGAGATGCACTACTGTACCGCGCCGAGCTGAGATGAATTGATATCGTCAATTAACCTAACCATGTGCTTGGGCGCGCTTGTTTCAATTTCACAACACACACAAGTAAAGGTAGGCGGGCGCATGCTACTGCAAGGGCTCTGGATAGAGCAAGGCAAATAGGGAGGGGTGCATGGTGGTTTTGGAATTTCGGACAGGGGGCTGGGGGAGGTTGTCATACGTTGTATGACCCGCCGCGCACGAGCGCGGCTCCCCCTGTATCGTTGAAACTCTACAGGGGTCTACACTATAGTGAAACGACAATGGGGATCACAGGGGGTGGTTTCTTAAAATCCGGACGTCCAGAAATTTTTTACTGGGCCGCGCTCAGCCTGTCATTCCACCGAATCTCTATTTATGAACATAATAGCCTGAGGTCCCCTTAATTGACGATGTCAATTCATGGCAGCTCGGCGCGGCACAGTAGCGCATCTCGCCGATCTAGCCAGAGAAGCCTTATTAAGTGCGCGGCGCGGCACAGTAACGCATCGCGCTACAAGAGGTCCCCAGGTAAGAAATTTTGGCAGAATAAACGAAAAAGTTAAATTTATTTCAACTTTTTGAATTTTATTTTAACTCTTATAATGTTAAATTTCATTAACTTATGATTAACAATAAATTTGAGTTGGTTTTATTTCAGATTTGTACTCTTATAAGTAGCCTGGAATTAAAATCCAGATGTCCGTGAGAGCGGGTGGTTTTGAAAATTCGGACAGCACAGCTGGAGAAAAGTTCATATAGCCATGTATCCACGATCGTACTGTATGATCGAAGGGCTCTGCCACAGGGGTGCCATAGTTGCTCTAACCAGAGCCCTCTTTGTATCACGTTGCGACCCCCCACGTTTCACCTGACGATACGAGGGGAGCCGCGCACGTCGTGCGCGGTGGGTCATACAACGTATGACAAAGCCCTCTCGCTTGCAGTAGCGCGCGACCGCCGGAGGCGGCAAAGTGAAACAAGCGCGTCAAAGTGAAACAAGCGCGTCACGCAGTACGCGTAGGCACATGGCTATGTGAAGTGCCATAGTCCAATGAAACTGCTGCTGACTCCTGCAAATGGCGCGCGACAGCAGCAGTTAGTAGCAGTTAGCAGCAGTTTCTTTGCACTATGGCACCCTTGTGGCCTCTGTCTGGTTTGTGGTCAGAGCAGGGGTAGGGGTGGTCTAGCTGAAAATTTAGGATTTTGGTGGACGTCCTCAATAGTTAGGTACCTGGGGAGCTCAGGCTATCATGTTCATAAACAACCAAAATATAATAGAGATTAGTCGGAATGACAGGCTGAGCGCGGCCCAGTAACCTAAATTGATGGCCGGGCCCCTAAGCAGCTTCACCGAACTTTAATTGACGGTGTCAATTCTACATTGTAGGTTTACAACCTACCAGGACGCGCGCCGAGTTGGACTCGTCGACGGTCCAATATACGGAACAGATATTTTACGAGTATCACCCGTTAAATTCTACACAGCTCGGCGAGGCCTAGTGGAGCATATTGCCGATCTAACGAAGTGGTTGCGAGAAGCATGGGTCATACGTTGTATGACCCGCCGCGCACGAAGTGCGCGGCTCCCCCTGTATCGTCAGTGAAACGACCGTGAGGGTCGCAACGTGATACAAGAGAAACATTATTGGATTTGCTACACGTTGTATACCTCTCGTGCACGCGAAGCGTGCACGCCGGCCGGCCGCGCGCGCTTCGCGCGCGATCAAAAGGGGTTGCAGCGTGTGTCAATACTGCCGTTTTCTCAGAAAAGGCAGTAAGTCCATATTTGCCATTTCGAGATATTGCGACTTTTGCGTTTATGGTTTTTTCTCCGTTTACTTTTTGCGTAAGATCAAAAGTAAACACGTTGAGTTATCAATAATTAGTCAAATTTTAATTTGTCAAAAAAATTAAAGCTTTGAGCCGTCCATAAGCTTAGATATAACCATTTTTATGCCAAATAATCGAGCTTATTTTTCATACTGGATGGACTTACTGCCTTTTCTGAGAAAACTTGGACTTACTTCCTTTTCTGAGAAAAATCTCTGTTCAATATTTTTCTGAGAAGGAAGTAAGTCCAAGCTTTTTACTAAATTTTTGAGGTTTGGATCTATGTATTTTGGATTATATTGTCAAATATAAACAATTAGGTAAATCTAAATCGCTCCATATCATATAATAAATGTTTTTGAATAGTAGTATGCCCTTATTTAGGCAAACTCGCCAATTTTGAAAGATTTCAGTGCATTAAATGATATCTTATCGATATTTTGATGAAAATGAACTTGATCTAAAAGATATTCCTAAACTAAACATTCTCTGCGATTATAACAGCTCAATAACTGCTCCAATGTTTATGTTTTGCAAATAAAATACATCCGGCGTTTTTGAAAATCGGCCATCAAATTTTTTTTGAGGCCTAAATGAAAATTTTGATCACTTAAGTAAAGTTGAAATGTAATTATACATCGATTCTGAAAATTTCAAGCGAAAATATCAATCGGCAGTAAAGTTATGTTCTTTTTGGGAAATCGCTTTCTAAAATTCCGCTTTTAGCATGCTTTTATAGGAAGTAAGTCCAGCTACTTCTTCCTATCACAGATAATTTATCTCAGAAAAGGCAGTAAGTCCACGGAATTACTTCCTTATCTCAGAAGATTTTCAAGATTTTCTCAGAAAAGGCAGTAAGTCCGGACTTACGTCCTTCTCTCAGAAAATAATTGGCCAAAACCGAACATAATGTTTCTCAACTGGGACTTACTTCCTTAGAAATTGCATGCAACAATGTTTCTATACATTAATATGTAGCTCATGTTGTAGAGAATTTTCCACTGAAATTTTTGATACCAATATTGTCATATTTCGAAAAATTGGACTTACTGCCTTTTCTGAGAAAACGGCAGAATATTGGATGCGTGGCGCGGTCCAGTAACGCATCGCGCTAGTGCAAAGTGAGAGTAGCGAGTAATGGACTAGTTCACATAGCCATGTGTCTATGCGTACTACTACTACGTGAGTTGGACTCGTCGACGGTCTTGGATGTTGCATGTTGGAATATATTTAATATGTTGAATAAATATTTTACGAGTATATTACCCGTTAAACTGCAAACGCGAGGGCTCTAGTTAGATCACCTAAATAGTAAGGGGTCGTTCACAAATATCACACATATTACGTAATCAGCCAATTTAATACGTTGTATGACCCACTGCGCACGAGTGCGCGGCTCCCCCTGTAACGTAGAAACGCTTAGTGAAACGACAATGGGGGTCAAAACGTGATACAACAAATTTCTATTTGAGTTGAGTAATTTATGCAACCTCCATCGCACTGAAAAAAGTGCGAATGCTTGTTCGGAATCAGCGTCCGAAACTACTTCGATTCAAATTGGTTTCAACAGTCGGGGCCCTTTTAGATTAATCTTGAAGACCGAGTGTAGAGTGATTTAGCATGCTTCGTGATCGACTTTGACGAATAATTGGGTATAAATATAATTGGGGATTCGTGACTGAGGATTAAATAAGGAGGCCCTTCTGAAAGATCACGAATTTGACTTTTTGAAATTTGTCCTTTTGAAAGTTGACCTGGTTGAATGTGCAATTTTTAGTAATTGTAATGTATAATTTTGCTCATTCATTCTTCAAATTTTGGTCAACTGCTGGGCAGCGGCCAGCGATGGGTTGGCCCCCAGCCCCAACCCGACCCCAACCAATTATTTCATCCTCTTATTTCGCTCAACAGGGGCCGCCCCAAGCTCCCCCTAAACTGCTGATGTCTATTCACCGATGACTGCATACAATATACCATATTATATATATATATATATAATACCATTACCATAGCAGAGAGTTAATTAATTAATTAAATTATTCCAAAGTACATTACAGTTACACACAGGGCCTCGTGTATGTAATGTATCACAGGCGACAGCAAACAAAAACAAAAACTTATAACATGGGTGAAACAGGACACCACACGTGTACGATCTCAGCTGCGCAGTATCATAGCAGTCAATAGTTCAAATTGCAAGGTGTCCTGGACGATCAAATTATATAAATTACCTGTAGTGGATGCGCTTGATGTGCTTTGTACCGTTTATAATAATTAACTATGTGTTAAAACTGCACGGCTTAGTTGTCAAAACGAGGATTGGACACCCTACAACACAAAATTTCACAAAGATCATGCATGCGCTTACATTCGAACGTTTGAGTGAATAAAGAGCTTTATATTGCCTTTAGATATTTCCGACTACTATTACTAATAACTATTTCTATTTTCAATCACCAGCCATCAGATAATAATTTTAGGGCGTCCACAGACGCCTAGACACCCTCAATAGCCGCCTCTGGGTTACTAACATCTCATTTAACAATTGACACATTGACCCTTATTTAGTGATGTGCCGATAGTTTATCGAAGAGTAGAGACAAGATAATACATAAAGTTGGGAGTAAAAAGTTAATTGTGAAAACAGAATGGTCAATGGTAAGCGAACCTTCTGAATCAATACTGGTTGTAATTTTTGATTATTATAAGTGTTAATATAATGAGACCTGACTAATGAATTTAAAACTATAGTTTAACTTGACAACTTTTTTCAGTGTATTCCTTTGAAGGGGTGGTGGTGTTTATATTATTGGTGATCTGTACTTGTGCATACATTAGAACTGTTCCTAGGCTAAGACAGATATTTCTATCAGAAAAGAATGGAATATTTGGAGCATTATATAAAGGTAAGCACAACTAATAATTAACTGTATTTAAAATCAACTGTCAAATATTATCAAGGAATAAATACAAGATTTCAGTCTTTACTTCATGGCATGTTAAATTGAAATTTTTAAGAATTGGCTTTCATTTTGAGTGTTATTATAACGTAAAAATTTACAGCATCGATTATTGGAACAAGACTACATTGGGGAGTATCTACAGCATGTGTCACTATGGCAGTATATCTTCTGATTCTGAGATAGAGCTCAGGATTACCTAATACATCTCCCATAGACGTCATTTACTCAAGTGCATGTGCATTGTGCATGCTTTTATTCGACATTTAGACATGTTTGCCTTGATTCAGTATTTTTGACGAGTTTTTCGTTTTTAAGGTATTTTCAATAATATAATGACACTCTAAGTCCAATTTTGCACAAAACGTTTAGCCATTTTAGTGCTAAAATTTAAAGTTGATATATACTGTAACTGAACATTACTTTTTTTCTAGATCCAGTATGCATGCGGATTCAAATTTTAGTGAAATCTGATATAATAACTTATTGAATAATTCAAATCACATTTTAATATGAAAAGCTTTGAAAGCTTATGTGTGTAAATATATATTATGATGCTGCCTTATGAATATGTGTGTAATGAAAATGATTCGGTTGTCATTTTTGTTTTTAGTTCCTGCTAACCAGATAATACCTGATTGTAATGTTAAATAGATGGTATCCCTGAATAGATAAGCAGGTGACTTACTAATCATACACTGTTTAATGCATGAATTTAGCTTTAAATAGTAACTACATCAAATCAAAGTAGGTGATAATGCAATTAATTCATTTTAATTTGCTGTCTAGATCTTAGCTTATTACAGCCAATTTTGATTGGTATGGTAAAAATGTATTAAAACGTTTTGGATATTTAAAAATGCAACAATTTGCATGACAATGCTGAATAAACTAACTTGAATTTATAGTTTGGGTTTACAATTGAAATATTTCGAGTTTTCAATTTTACTTGTATCACTGTCTAGTTAGTGTCTATAGACAAAATTGGTGCTCACATAATATTACGTAATCACTTATTGGCCAACCCTCTCCGTAATCAGTTTAAATACATGAATGGCTTTTGTGCTAAAAAGCTAAAATTACAACAGCGTTATCATTCATAAACCCCCTCTCTCCAGATTCCCCTCAGTGATTATATAATTATATGTGAACGCCCCCTTATATTCAAATTGTTAGAATTTTGTGATTTTTATTCAATGTAGTAAATAGGTGATTCATAGTAACTCCACTGCAGGTTAGTTAATGACATGAAAGGAACTGAAGCTCCAAACAATTGGCTCATTGCTTGTGAAAAAGAAGGAGTAAATCAAGCTCACAGCAGCGATCCAAAATGCAGAGCAATTTTTTATGCCAGAACAACTTCAGCTGCCCTCTCAGCACTGGGATGTTTCTTAGTGCTATTTATCATAATAGTGTATAAAAAATACACTCGGTTTACCCAAAGGCTGATAATGTATCTGTTACTTCCTACATTTGTTATCTCTGCCGCTTCAGTGTACCCAAATATAGATGATATCAGTATTCCCTGTGAAGTTGCTGCATTCTTCATGAATTGGGGCACACTCTCTCAGAGGCTCATCATTCTTTGCATTGTAGTTCATTTGCTGGTCTTCACATTTAATCAGACTAGGCCCAAGTGCTTGGAGCTCCTATTTCACGTTGTAACCTGGGGATTGTCATTTTGCTTCAGCATCATACCTATTCCTGGTCATCATTATGGTTCTGCGGGAGTATGGTGCTGGATTAAAGGTGTAACACACTACGAAGATGAGCTAAGGTTAGGTTGCTTCTACATCTGGGTTTGGTGTTGTGTTTCAATTGAAATTGTTTGTTTTACCATTGTTGTAGTTCGTGTTAGGAGGCTGCTCAGACGTTTTCAAGGAATGTCCTCGTCCAATCCAGAAGTAGAAGAAACAAAGAGGCGCTTCAAGAAGTACATTTATCCACTGATGCTCTACCCGCTAGTGAATTTTATTCTAGCTATCCCGGTCACTGCAAATCGCATACAAAACTGGGTCAATGAAGGACACCCTGTATTTGGGCTGTTCTTGTGCCACTCAATTGTTTTCCCCCTGTGGGGCTTCTGCAATGCAATGTTGTACTTCATGAACAAAGAAACCCTCCTGCAACTGCATCCCTGCAATGTCTGGGAAGGTATTATCTCTTGGAGAAGAAGCTCGTCCCAAAAACGTCAAATATCTAGTGCTTCAAATGATCAGGCCCCTGACATTGACTTTGCCTATGCTGGTGGTGCTGTAACCAATCCTTCTGCTCTGCATTCTGCGACAATGGACTCTGAGAGTGACATGGAATGAGGGGAATTCCTAGCCCTATAGTAAGTTCCGGCTATTATTAATTTTGTTCGCTTTATCAATATTATCTGTATGAAAATCATAATTAAAATACAGGCATCTCTTCATGGAGTATGTATTACATTCTTAATAAAATTTTCATTGATTGATATAGACTTGATATAATTGTATTAAGTTTTAACATTTATTAATTATTGTGATCTGATGTTGTGATCAAGCAAAACCTTTATATCTTCATAATATGCTTGAGTGTATCGCACCAAAATTATGTTATTTCTTAATGTCATGATTTTTAGTATGAAGAGTTTTTTTACTTGATTTTCACATTTTTACACTGTTTGTTTGATTTTTAAATTCACATTTTTGCGATGGATACACGATGATTGTTATAACATATTATATATATATAATATATATACAACGGCGTTTCTTTCTCATTTAGCAAAGTGCTCAACTAATGGCTAGGAGCATACTATAAGCGTGTCACTGAAGATTGTTGTTCACACATCCATGAAACTTTTAGTTTGACGATAACATCGTTTACTTTGTTACGCTCATATATATAATAATATATACATATATAATATTTTTTTGGTCAGCCACAACAGTCAGTAAAACAACGTGTTGACTTCAAATGTCAATTCGAACAATTGAAACAAATCAAATTGGCGGGCAAACCATCCGTTTCATGATATGTATAAAACAATACCAATCATCAGTGCCAAATAGAATAATGAATTGTAGCGCTATGACATGTTGCTCCTTTATAAAATAATTTTTATCGATCATGAAACATTTTCAAAATTATCAAAATTTACAACAACAACAAAATTCTAAACAGTTTATTATGTCCGTCCAAAATTTAGAATTGTCTATGAAGTAAGGTAGTAAGACATCTTTGGCTTTTAAAGTTGTATACTGCGTTGGTAGAGAAAAATTTGAGTCGAAGGAGCATAACTAATAAATAGTTGTTGCTTGGTTTCCCAAAAGAGAGTGCTCGACTGCAGTTAAGCAGGAGCATTATAATTCGAACAATTGAAACAAAGCAACAACTATTTATTAGTTATGCTCCTTGGACTCGTCGTTGTTGAGCACTCTCGTTTGATAACCAGAATCAACAATTAACTCCCAAATACGGATCCTAATTCTACCAGCTTCACGGAACTCAGTAAAGAATTTTCCTCTACCACTACACGAAGGCCAACGCAGTATACAACTTTAAAAGCCAAAGATGTCATACTTCCTTACTTCATAGACAATTCTAAATTTTGGACGGACATAATAAACTGTTTAGAATTTTGTTGTTGTTGTAAATTTTGATAATTTTGAAAATGTTTCATGATCGATAAAAATTATTTTATAAAGGAGCAACATGTCATAGCGCTACAATTAATTATTCTATTTGGCACTGATGATTGGTATTGTTTTACACATATCATGAAACGGATCGTTTGCCCGCCAATTTGATTTGTTTCAATTGTTCGAATTATAATGCTCCTGCTTAACTGCAGTCTAACTTGAAAACCATAAATAACTGTCAAAAATTCTGGGGACAAATGGTGAATTACGTCAACGAGTTGACTTCTAGTCCCCACGATTTTTAGTCCCCATTAGTCCCCAAAAGTCTCCATTGGTAGTCATTACCCCCCCCCCCCCCCCCCCATATATATATATAGTCAAGGCGTCAAGGCGTTGTTTTACTGACAGTTGTGGCTGACTAACAATATATAATATATCTATATTATTATATATTATACTAGAAAGCCCGTGGTAACAGGGACGAAGCTAGTAGTATTCTTTGAAAGAAAGTTTTAATCGCATCAAAAAATATCCATCCCAACCAAAGATACAGCCGATTTAAATATAAAACACTTTAAACACAACGTAATTACCACAAAACCGATCAAAATGACGTTAAAACAATCTTTGCACGTGCATGTGTGGATTAAAACACCGTTGCTATGGAACGTTTTGGTTGTTACCTAAATTCCTATTTTTCATCTAATTTGCACCTGGGCGGTCTTACAGACATACAGACATAAATAATTCTCTGAATTATAGTAGAGATATACCTTACTCGGGATTATTATAACCGGGATAAAGTGGTGGGTTTTGGAAGATTCCGCCATATTTTTCCCGGTCAAAAATTTTACCAGTCATAAAAAAACCCGCCGACTCAGATTATGGGGTTCCAAGGGGGTGGTGATCATCATATTTTACCTGAAGTCTCATATGTGGCTAGAGAAGACTTTTGAAGCAGTGGATGGAGGGCTGTAACTTTATTGGCGGATGCTACCATAATTTTGTTATAAAAATCACAATTTGGTTATAGAAATCAGATGTCAGGGTGGACCGTGATTCTCACTTTTCTTGCCCACGAAGTGAGTAAACTGTGCCACTATTTTATGGTCCACGGTGGATTGATTACTGGAGCAGTTGAAGATGCAAAGCCAAGACGTTCCCCAATACCAAGCGGTGGGCAGGAAATTAAGCTCCGGCTGACCTTCAGAGCAGTAGCCCCATTAGCGGACAAAATGAAAGTCTTGTTAAGACAACAATACAACTTCGAATTTGACGGTCAGCAGCAGGGGGATATCAATAATGATAATGGAGGGGACATTAGCGATAATGAGAATGAGAATACACTTTAATGAAGATTTGACTTATTATTGCTATAGATTTATTTTCCTTTAAATACTAGACGTGTCTTTTTTTCTATTTCTGAGTAATATCAGTAACAGTAAATTGAAATAACTTCTTTAACAAGTAACAAAAACAGAAATTTCGGTTGAAAATTTGTTGACATCTGAAAAAAAACCTGAAAGGTCGGCCACCGGTAAATACATGACCGGGATAATTTGGCGGGTTTTGGGAAATTCCGCCATATTTTTCCCGGTTATTAATTTTCCCAGTCATAAATTAACCCGCTATAATATTCCCGAGTAAGGTATATATAATGTGAACTTATACTTTGCATGTTAAATAAGATCATGGTAAATAAATTTTGTTTGGTATTGGCACACATACTGCAGCAGCAGGCTGGGGGGGTACCAATGGCATAAATGGCATAATGGAGAATTGGCCAATAAAAATTTCCATTTATGCCATAAAACGTATGCCATTTATGCCATTTTTGATATAATACATTTCTAGTTTATTTATTTGTCATATGAATCTTTAACGATCATTCCAAGCGTTATAAAGCATGAAACATGTCTCTTATTCAAGTACTAATAATAATTTGCGAATTTAAAGTCAAATATGAAGACCTAAATTCATGGCATAAATGGAGAATTGGCCAATAAAAATTTCCATTTATGCCATAAAACGTATGCCATTTATGCCATTTTATGCCATTGGTACCCCCCCAGCAGGCTGAAAATTCTGAATTTGACTATGTTAGTTGAAAGAAGAATCTGTCGACATTTTATGGAAACCTTTAAAATATTCAGTGGTTTAGTAGAATATAAATATAGCTGCAATATTTTCCATATAAGTATATCAGGTATAAATATTATTATATCAAAGAGTGTTAATAATTTAAAGATAAATCTATAACATTTTAAGAAGAATTGTATCTAAAATTAATGTGTTATGATCAAAATCATTGGAAAGTGTCTGACAAGTAGAATTGGAGGAGATACCTATTTGGAGAACTAGAGTAACCATTATGATTAAATTGATTATCTGTGGTTTCATGGGGGGGGGGGGGGGGGGGGCTCATGTTTTGTGCCCGTTTTTGTCTGTGCAGTCCAAAAAACATGAGCCCCCCCTTTCATCCATATTCAGCATAGAATACATATAGAAGATATACTAGGGCTTTTGGTCCAAATTTGAAATGTCTGATTTATTGAGATTAAACTAATGATACATTTTTGTGAATTTGTAAAAATTTCCTGGCATTTTTCTTAGCGGTTTCTATGTAAATTAGAGTTTGAGAAACTGGAGTATGGTTTGACATGTAACATCAACTTTTTTGGAACATCTGTGATCTGTCATTGAACTTGAAGTTTTTTCCCTGGAAAACACTTTTCTCTACGTTTCATGCTACCCCGATCATTATGAGCCGAAATCATTGTTAAATGCTATGATATCGGGTCAAGCACCTTCCTAACTACTTACTTTAGCAGCCAGATACCCGATCCATTCCTAAATTTGATCACTATCAGAGTGAAATTGAGTGGAATTTGAATTAAAATATTGTCAAATTGTTATTATTCTAGAGGGTAAAAAAGAAAATTTTGATTACGTCATCAACAGCCAACCCCCCCCCCCCCCCGTAATCAACTGTAATCATTTGGGAACCCCTCCCCCTCGGCTGATTACCTTACTCGGGATTATTATAACCGGGATAAAGTGGTGGGTTTTGGAAGATTCCGCCATATTTTTCCCGGTCAAACATTTTACCAGTCATAAAAAAACCCGCCGACTCAGATTATGGGGTTCCAAGGGGGTGGTGATCATCATATTTTACCTGAAGTCTCATATGTGCTAGAGAAGACTTTTGACGCAGTGGATGGAGGGCTGTAACTTTATTGGCGGTTGCTACCATAATTTCGTTATAAAAATCACAATTTGGTTATAGAAATCAGATTTCAGGGTGGACCGTGATTCTCACTTTTCTTGCCCATGAACTTGAAGTGAGTAAACTGTGCCACTATTTCATGGTCCACGGTGGATTGATTACTGGAGCAGTTGAAGATGCAAAGCCAAGACGTTCCCCAATACCAAGCGGTGGGCAGGAAATTAAGCTCCGGCTGACCTTCAGAGCAGTAGCCCCATTAGCGGACAAAATGAAAGTCTTGTTAAGACAACAATACAACTTCGAATTTGACGGTCAGCAGCAGGGGGATATCAATAATGATAATGGAGGGGACATTAGCGATAATGAGAATGAGAATACGCTTTAATGAAGATTTGACTTATTATTGCTATAGATTTATTTTCCTTTAAATACTAGACGTGTCTTTTTTTCTATTTCTGAGTAATATCAGTAACTGTAAATTGAAATAACTTCTTTAACAAGTAACAAAAACAGAAATTTCGGTTGAAAATTTGTTGACCTCTGAAAAAAAACTTGAAAGGTCGGCCACCGGTAAATACATGACCGGGATAATTTGGCGGGTTTTGGGAAATTCCGCCATATTTTTCCCGGTTATTAATTTTCCCAGTCATAAATTAACCCGCTATAATATTCCCGAGTAAGGTATGTAATATATGTGAACGACCCCTTATTGGCCAGCCCCCTCCGTAATCAGTTTAAATGTAACATGAATGGCTATTTTGCTAAAATTACAATAGCGTTATCATTTATAAACCCCCTCTCTCCCCCTCAGTGATTACATAATGTGAACGACCCCTAATCTTTAAATTGTTTAAGTTTATTTAATGCAGTATTAAAATAAAATACCAGTATACATTAATATTACAGTCAGTGTCTGTAGGTGATTCACAGTAACTCCAATGCAGATTTGTTAATGACATGAAAGGAACTGAAGCTCCACACAATTGGCTCATTGATTGTGAAAAAGAAGGAGTAAATCAAGCTCACAGCAGCGATCCAAAATGCAGAGCAATTTTTTATGCCAGAACAACTTCAGCTGCCCTCTCAGCACTGGGGTGTTTCTTAGTGCTATTTATCATAGTAGTATATAAAAAATACACTCGGTTCACCCAAAGGCTGGTAATGTATCTGTTACTTCCTACATTTGTTATCTCTGCCGTTTCAGTGTACCCATATATTAGTGATAGCACTATTTCCTGTGAAGTTGCTGGATTCTTCATGAATTGGGGCCTACTCTCTCAGAGGCTTATCATTCTTTGCATTGTAGTTCATTTGCTGGTCTTCACATTCAATCAGAATAGGCCCAAGTGCTTGGAGCTTCTATTTCACGTTGTAACCTGGGGATTGTCATTTTGCTTCAGTATCATACCTATTCCTGGTCATCATTATGGTTCTGCGGGAGTATGGTGCTGGATTAAAGGTGTAACACACTACGAAAATGAGCTAAGGTTTGGTTGTTTCTACATCTGGGTTTGGTGTTGTGTTTTAATTGAAATTGTTTGTTTTGCCCTTGTGGTAGTTCGTGTTAGAAGGCAGCTCAGACGTTTTCAAGGAACATCGGTGTCCAATCCAGAAGTAGAAGAAACAAAGAGGCGCTTCAAGAAGTACATTTATCCACTGATGCTCTACCCGCTAGTGAATTTTATTCTAGCTATCCCGGTCACTGCAAATCGCATACAAAACTGGGTCAATGAAGGACACCCTGTATTTGGGCTGTTCTTGTGCCACTCAATTGTTTATCCCCTGTGGGGCTTCTGCAATGCAATGATGTACTTCATGAACAAAGAAACCCTCCTGCAACTGCATCCCTACAATGTCTGGGAAGGTATTATCTCTTGGAGAAGGAGTTCGTCCCAAAAACGTCAAATATCTAGTGCTCCAAATAATCAAGCCCCTGACGTTGACCTCGCCTATGCTGGTGGTGCTGTAACCAATCCTGCTGCTCTGTATTCTGCGACGATGGACTCTGAGAGTGACATGGAATGAAGTTGGGAACTCCTAGCCCCAGTCACTTAACTTCTTGATTTTTATCATTCAATAAGTACTGCTAAGTGCTAGATCATACGATTCTATACATATTATACCATAGTACATGTTAAGGCTATTATTGATTTTGTTCGCTTTTATTTATCAATATTATCTGTATGAAAATCATAATTAAAATACAGGCACCTCTTCATGGAGTATGTATTGCATTCTTAATAAAATTTTCATTTATTGATATAGACTTGATATTGTATTAAGTTTTAACATTTACTAATTATTGTGATCAGATGTTGTGATACTAATTATTGTGATCAGATGTTGTGATCAAGCAAAACCTTTATATCTTCATAATATGCTTGAGTGTATCACACCAAACTTATATTATTTCTTAATGTCATGATTTTTTGTATGTAGAGTTTTTTACTTGATTTTCACATTTTTACACTTTTTGTTTGATTTCTAAATTCATATTTTTTGTGTCGGATAATATTTTACATGATGATTTTATTATATAATGTGAACTTTAACTTTGCATGTTAAATAAAATCTGTAAATTAATTTTGTTTGGTATTATCACACATACAGAAGCAGGCTGAAAATTCTGAATTTTACATCAGGTATAAATATTATTATTGTACTTATATCAAAGATTAAGTGCAACATTAAAAGCTTATCTTATTGGAATGCCCTACCAGTGGCTGTTAAGAACCTTTATCACTTATGTTCGTAATTTAAAGTTTAAATGTGAACAAGAGTTTGAGAAACTTGAGTAAGGATTGACATGTAACATCAACTTTTTGGAACATCAGTGATCTGTCATTGAACTTGAAGATTAGTCTATCATGATCTTAAATGATTATTAATTACTTTTGTAGTAACAAAATACCTTTCGTTTTACTCACAAAATGAAGTACCACAAACCAAACAAAATGCAGAGACAAGATCACTTGAACTTTACATAAATATCAGAATAACATAATATTAAGTTAAATGGACTCATAGGTTTGTTTGCTCTCTTCTTACTTCATGCTTTTTTAATTTCAATCCAAAACAGGACTACTAGTGTTAGCATGGCTGAAATTGGAAGGTCTGCAACCTGGCTCACAAACTGCACCAACACAACAAACCCTGCCCATAACAGTGACTACTGGTGTTTTGCTATCTTCTACGGAAGGACTGTTGCTGCCTCTTTGTCCATTGCCGGCTGTTGCCTGGTGCTCTTCGTGATAGTGATCTACAAAAAATACCGGAATTTTACTCACAGAATGATAGTGTATGTACTTCTGCCATCAATTGTTCTGTCCCTGATCTATGTTTACCCTCATCGGCTGGATGACACCAGTCGGTACTGTCAGATAACAGGATACCTTGTCAATACATGTACACTTGCTCAGAGGCTGCTGATTCTCTTCATTGTCATCCATCTACTGGTGTTTACAATCAATGAAAGGAGACCAAGAAACATGGAACATGTTTTCTTATCGCTCGCTTGCATTGTGCCGCTTTTAATCAGTGTTTTTCCCTTCATTGGTGAAAACAGTCACTATGGTTATGCGGGGGATTGGTGCTGGATCAAAGCAGATTCTGGATACGAGAATTTGCTAAGGCTGTTTTGTCTTTACCTTTGGATGCTCTCCTTTATAGTGGTTGAGTTTGTATGTTTCGTAATTGTGATTGTCAAAGTGCGCAGACACCTACAAAGAATCGAAACCACTAGTGAAGATAGCCCTGCAGTTCTACTAAAGATCAGGCAGTACAAAAAGCAAGTTTATCCTCTGCTGTGCTATCCTCTTGTGAACATGATTCTAGTTATTCCCGTTTCTGCCAACCGTATTCAAAACGCGATTGACAAGGAGAATCCAATTTTTGGCTTGTACATGATGCACTGCACGATATACCCTCTCTGGGGTTTTGCCAATGCAATGATGTACTTTGTTAGTAAGGAAACTATCAGAGAGCTACATCCTGGCAGCCTCTGGGAGCAACTGACTACTTGGAGAAGAAGCTCCCGCTCGCGTTCATCACAACAGCGGCTGTTAAGTTCGCCTCAATCACCTCAACCGGAGATAAATAAAATATTCTGCAAGGCTGGCAGCAAGGGAACTATAGGCCGTGAAGCTCTATATTCTGCAACTATGGATTCAAGTGATATGGAGTGACTTTTACAGGACCTTTTACATAATATTATGTACATGTAAAAAGTGTACTTTATTGTGTACAATGTTGTGCTCTTCTAGAAGAACTTGATTGGAAGGACAGTCACAATATTCCTTATTCCTTATTTAATTATTTGACATTAGGATTTTTGTTATTTCTACAATATGGTTTTTAAAGTTATTTTTGATTTTCAAATGATTGAACACCTTCCAAATGATTTCAGCTTTCTTACAAATTATTTTATTTTTGTTTTAAATTTCACAGCTTTTGAGACGAATTTTTACCATACTGTTGATGATTTTTTTACCCGTGATTAAAATTTTTCTTGAACGTTTTGCTGACTTTTTGAGTGATGAATCAATGATAATAAAATATCTTAAAAGATTCGGTTTGCAAATTATTTATTGGACATGATGCCGTTCGCTTCTGCTTCATTCACTTTGCTGTCCTAACTATTTACATGTTGCTAAACAAAAAATGACTGAATTTGAAAGATCTTTTCTTTATTACCACGCTATGGATATTGGATACATGATAGTTATTTTTTATTTTAAATGACTTCACCTTTTTTAAATGATTTCGTGTTTCAGCTGTCTTAAAATGTATTTTTGTTGACTTTTGATAACTTTTTAAAAGACATGACTACTCACCATAATTAACTTTTTCCTTAAACCCTCCTGTGACTTCATAATCATTACTTGCTGTTTAATAAATCAATCTTAATATCCTATCTAAAAATCTAAAAACAAAAAATGAAAAAAAAGATTCGTTTAAATTAATTTTGTTTTATATAGTTTGTAAATTGTATATTGGACATGAATATGATGTCCTTATATGCTTAATTCACTACCTGTCCTAACCATTTACTTAATTAAGTATAGGGGGGGGGGGGGGGGGGGGGGGGGTCCAACCCGATGTCCGATATGAGGGTTGATGAGGCCAAAATCGGAATCGGAAAAATCGGAAAATTGAGAAATTTTAGAGAATCGATCTCTAAAACCTCTCAGAAGTGAGGAAGTGATAAAAAACCCCTAAATATGCTATATTGTTATGAGAAAACGAACTAATTGGACATTCCAATAGTATGTTTTATGTGTTTTTCCACTGCAGGGGCTAGTATGCTCACTACTAGTTGGAGTTGTCATGTACTCCCAGACCCGAGTGCTTTGGCCTCTTGACGTGAGATTGATTGTTTCTGCTCATTAATTTTATCCCTGTTACTTGTTATTATGTATTAGTACAACACTGCCGTTTTCTCAGAAAAGGCAGTAAGTCCATATTTGCCATTTCGAGATATTGCGACTTTTGCGTTTATGGTTTTTTCTCCGTTTACTTTTTGCGTAAGATCAAAAGTAAACACGTTGAGTTATCAATAATTAGTCAAATTTTAATTTGTCAAAAAAATTAAAGCTTTGAGCCGTCCATAAGCTTAGATATAACCATTTTTATGCCAAATAATCGAGCTTATTTTTCATACTGGATGGACTTACTGCCTTTTCTGAGAAAACTTGGACTTACTTCCTTTTCTGAGAAAAATCTCTGTTCAATATTTTTCTGAGAAGGAAGTAAGTCCAAGCTTTTTACTAAATTTTTGAGGTTTGGATCTATGTATTTTGGATTATATTGTCAAATATAAACAATTAGGTAAATCTAAATCGCTCCATATCATATAATAAATGTTTTTGAATAGTAGTATGCCCTTATTTAGGCAAACTCGCCAATTTTGAAAGATTTCAGTGCATTAAATGATATCTTATCGATATTTTGATGAAAATGAACTTGATCTAAAAGATATTCCTAAACTAAACATTCTCTGCGATTATAACAGCTCAATAACTGCTCCAATGTTTATGTTTTGCAAATAAAATACATCCGGCGTTTTTGAAAATCGGCCATCAAATTTTTTTTGATCACTTAAGTAAAATTTAAATGTAATTATACATCGATTCTGAAAATTTCAAGCGAAAATATCAATCGGCAGTAAAGTTATGTTCTTTTTGGGAAATCGCTTTCTAAAATTCCGCTTTTAGCATGCTTTTATAGGAAGTAAGTCCAGCTACTTCTTCCTATCACAGATAATTTATCTCAGAAAAGGCAGTAAGTCCACGGAATTACTTCCTTATCTCAGAAGATTTTCAAGATTTTCTCAGAAAAGGCAGTAAGTCCGGACTTACGTCCTTCTCTCAGAAAATAATTGGCCAAAACCGAACATAATGTTTCTCAACTGGGACTTACTTCCTTAGAAATTGCATGCAACAATGTTTCTATACATTAATATGTAGCTCATGTTGTAGAGAATTTTCCACTGAAAATTTTGATACCAATATTGTCATATTTCGAAAAATTGGACTTACTGCCTTTTCTGAGAAAACGGCAGAACACTAGGGTTATATTTTGTAGTCCGGTCTTTAAACATACCATAATATCACTAGTACACTGCACCTTAAATGTATAGTCAAGTACATTTGTATCGTAACACATGCTTGGCTGGGGGATCATGTTTTGTGTCCGTTCGGTACCCTGTATTTTCAAAACGGACAAAAAGTAGGGCGGACAAAAACAGACAAAACATTTAGATGTCCTCCTCCTCCTAAGTCTTCCTCCTCCTGAGTCCTTCTCCTCCTCAGTCCTCTTCAGTCCTCTTCCTGACTCCTCGTCCTCGTCCTCGTCCTTCTCCCCAGTCCTCCTCACCCTCCTCCTCAATCCCCTTCTCCTCCTCAGTCCTACTCCCAGTCCTCCTCCTTCTCCTTCTCCTCCTCCTCATCCTCATTTCTCCTCCTGATCCTCCTTCTCCTCCCCATCAGTTCTCCTTAGTCCTCCTCATAGTCGTCCTCCTCCTCCTGAGTCCTTCTCATCCTCCTCCACCTCCTGAGTCCACCTCCTGAGTCCTCCTCCTCAGTCCTCATCCTCCTCCTCAGTCATCATCCTCTTCCTCCTGAGTCCTCCCCCAGTCCTCCTCCTCTTTCTCCTCCTCATCCTCCTCCTCCTTCTCCTCCTCATCAGTCCTCATCCTCTGTCCTCCTCATAATCGTCCTCGTCCTCATCCTCGTCCTTAGTCCTCCTCCTCCTTATCCTCCTCCTCAGTCCTCCCCCAGTCCTAATCCTCCTCCTTCTCCTCCTCCTCCTACTCCTCCTCCTCCTTCTCCTCTTTCTTCTCCTCCTAATCATTCCTCCTCCTCAGTCGTCCTCCGCCTCCTCCTCGTCCTTAGTCCTCGTCCTCTTCAGTATTCCTCCTCAGTCCTCATCCTCCTCATCCTCCTCCTCCTCCTCAGTCCTCCTCCTCATCCTCCTCCTTCTCCTCTTCCTTCTCCTCCTAATCAGTCCTCCTCCTCAGTCGTCCTCCTCCTCTTCATTAGCCCTTGTCCTCATCCTCCTAGTCCTCGTCCTTAGTCCTCGTCCTCATCCTCCTCAGTCTTCCTCCTCAGTCCTCATCAGTCTCATCGTCCTCATCCTCCTCCCCAAGTCCTCCTCTTCCTCAGTCCTCCCCCAGTCCTCCTTCTCATCCTCCTCATCCTCTTCAGTCGTCATCTTGTTCCTCCTCAGTCCTCCTCTTCCTCCTACTCGTCAGTCCTCCTCCTCCTCCTTCTCCTCAGTCCTCCTCCTCCTCCGCAGTCCTTCTCCTCCTCGTCAGTCCTCCTCCTCGCCAGTCCTCCTTCTCCTTCTTCTCCTCCTACTCCTAAGTCCTCCTCCTCCTCCTCAGTCCTCCTCCTCCCTCTCATCCTTTTCCTCCTTCTCCTCCTTCTCCTCCTACTCCTAAGTCATCCTCCTGCTCCTCAGTCCTCCCCCAGTCCTCCTCCTCATCAGTCCTCCCCCAGTCCTCCTTCTCCTCCTCCTCATCCTCAGTCCTCCTCCTCATCATCCTCCTCAGTCCTCCTCCTCCTCAGTCCTCCCTAAGTCCTCCTCTTCCTCAGTCCTCCCTAGTCCTCCTTCTCCTCCTCCTCATCCTCAGTCCTCCTCCTCAGTCCTCCTCGTCCTTAGTCCTCCCCCAGTCCTTCTTCTCCTCATCCTCAGTCCTCCTCCTCAGTCCTCGTCCTTCTCCTTTTTAACAGTCCTCCTCCTCAGTCTTCCTCCTCGTCCTCGCTCTCGTCCTCCTCCTTCTCGTCTTCCTCCACACCAATCCTGCTCCTCTTCCTCAGTCCTCCCTCTCCTCTTCAGTCCTCCTCCTCCTCAGGCCTCCTCGGTCCTCCTCTTTCTCCTCAGTCTTCCTCCTTTTCCTCCTCCTCCTCATTTCTCTTCCTCATCCTCCTCCTCCTTCTTCTCTTCCTTCTCCTCCTAATCAGTCCTCCTCCTCAGTCGTCCTCCTCCTCGTCCTTAGTCCTCGTCCTCATCGTCCTTAGTCCTCGTCCTCATCCTCCTAGTCCTCGTCCTCATCCTCCTAGTGCTCGTCCTGGTCCTCCTCAGTCTTCCTCCTCTGTCCTCCTCAGTCCTCCTTCTCCTTCTTCTCCTCCTACTCTTAAGTCCTCCTCCTCCTCCTCAGTCCTCCTCCTCCCTCTCATCCTTTTCCTCCTTCTCCTCCTTCTCCTCCTACTCCTAAGTCATCCTCCTGCTCCTCAGTCCTCCCCCAGTCCTCCTCCTCATCAGTCCTCCCCCAGTCCTCCTTCTCCTCCTCCTCATCCTCAGTCCTCCTCCTCATCATCCTCCTCAGTCCTCCTCCTCCTCAGTCCTCCCTAAGTCCTCCTCTTCCTCAGTCCTCCCTAGTCCTCCTTCTCCTCCTCCTCATCCTCAGTCCTCCTCCTCAGTCCTCCTCGTCCTTAGTCCTCCCCCAGTCCTTCTTCTCCTCATCCTCAGTCCTCCTCCTCAGTCCTCGTCCTTCTCCTTTTTAACAGTCCTCCTCCTCAGTCTTCCTCCTCGTCCTCGCTCTCGTCCTCCTCCTTCTCGTCTTCCTCCACACCAATCCTGCTCCTCTTCCTCAGTCCTCCCTCTCCTCTTCAGTCCTCCTCCTCCTCAGGTCTCCTCGGTCCTCCTCTTTCTCCTCAGTCTTCCTCCTTTTCCTCCTCCTCCTCATTTCTCTTCCTCATCCTCCTCCTCCTTCTTCTCTTCCTATCAGTCCTCCTCCTAATCAGTCCTCCTCCTCAGTCGTCCTCCTCCTCGTCCTTAGTCCTCGTCCTCATCGTCCTTAGTCCTCGTCCTCATCCTCCTAGTCCTCGTCCTCATCCTCCTAGTGCTCGTCCTGGTCCTCCTCAGTCTTCCTCCTCTGTCCTCCTCAGTCCTCCTTCTCCTCAGTCCTCTCCTCCTCCTCATCAGTTTACACAATTTATTGTTACTAAAATGTTTTTAAACGCATTTGAGTCTGTAACATATTGACATGTTACTGTTACTGACTCAAAATGTGCCCGAGAATTTTTTTGTTTAACAGAGTTTTACTCTCCAGTACTATGGAAAAGTTGTTACATGATAAATAAAGATTTTGATAAATAAAGTGATTTTCATCCCTTTTAATGTTATTGAAAATTGTGTAGACTATTCTTTGTATCTAACTGAGGATTGGAAGTTTGAGAAAGGACCATAGTCATTAACCGTGCTACCCATTTCTGCAGATAGCCTGTTACAAATTGTGGAGACAATTTAAATCAAAAGTTACTAAAGCGTTCGCTATTTGTTACGATTGTTATTACCAACCGTACCTCTTTCAATTGTGGACCGGGGTGGATGTTTCTGTCAAACAAGAGTTGGTACGACATTGTGTTGTTTTTCGGACGAAACGATTCTTGTTTGGAACAAGATACCGTTTTGGGGTTCTGGGACCACCACCAATCGATTTCTTGTCATATTTAAGTACAGAAATAGCTACCTATATCGCCTAGAAACCTCAGAGGGAAGATTTAAATTTTCCCGATTTTTCCGATATGAGGGTTGATAAGGCCAAAATCGGGATCGGAATGATCGGAATTGATCGGGTTGGACCCCCCCAGTATAAAATGACTGAAATTGAAAAAACTTGGCTGACAAACTGCACCAACACAACAAACCCAGCCTATTATAATGACTACCGGTGTCTCGCTATCTTCTATGGAAGGACTGTTGCTGCCTCTTTGTCTATTGCTGGTTGTTGCCTGGTGCTCTTCATGATTGTTATCTACAGAAAATACCGGAATTTTACTCACAGAATGATCATATCTGTTTTGTTTCCAACCATTGTGATTTCTTCGGTTTACTCATATCAGAATAACATCAATAGGACAGGAATTTATTGTGAAGTCTCCGGGTTTCTTGACAATTTCTGTACTCTTTCTCAACGTTTACTAATTCTCTGTATTGTTATCCATCTTCTTGTCTTTACCATTTATGAGAAAAGACCGAAACATCTTGAATTGATTTTTCATTCGGTAGTATGGCCGTTCTCGCTATGTATGAGCATCATTCCCATATATGGTCATCACTATGGTGCTGCAGGTACATGGTGCTGGATAAAAAATGAGACACCGTACGAGAATTTGCTGAGGCTCCTTTGCTTTTATTTGTGGCTCATAATGTCTGTCCTCATAGACATCGTGTTCTTTGCTATGGTCATATCCAAGATACACTTGCAGTTAAAGCAATTCCGTTCTGATGGCTACTGTTCCATGATGAGGACTCAAAAGAAACGGCTGTACAGAAAATACGTCTACCCTCTCTTGCTTTACCCTTTAGTAAACTTTGTGGTAGCAGTTCCAGTATCTGTTAACCGGTTCCAAAACTGGATAAGCCCGGATAGTCCAATGTTTGGATTGTACTTCCTTCACTGTACTCTGTATCCACTCTGGGGATTCTGTAATGCTGTCATGTACTTTATGAGCAAGGATACACTGCGCCAGCTTCATCCATGTGCTATTTTGGACGAGATCTTGACCTCCTGGACTAGGAACACAGCATCTCTAGAGCCGTCAAGTACTCAAACAGGGGATTTTCAATATGTTGACGAACATTATGCTGCTGACTCCAATTTGGTAAATGCGAATACTTCCGCTGTACTTTCGGGAGAGATGAACACATCTGAAAGTGATATGGAGTCACTTCACCATTAGCAAAATAATCATTGGTTTTGTTCATAAGATTGTATTTTTATAAAATACTACCAATGTTATAATAACAGACACTACAGCATGAACATTGCATTATACATACCGAGGTGTCTAGTCATAATATTGTGGTGTTAAATTGCCAAAACTATGTTATGTTACACTCGCAGCAAGACTTTTTGTGTGTTAGATGTTTGTCTTTCCTCTGGTCTGCCAATTTAACGGTTTTAAAATGTTTAGTGATTTGTTTTATAACGGGAAGAATTTGATTGTGCTTTTGTATTTTGAACTTAATTAATAGGTTAATACTTTAATATCCAGGTACGGTATCATTAAAATATTATTTTTGCACTATCAGTTGATATTTTGACTTCAGACTAGGTGTGGCATTTGATTAAAACATAAATTTTACAGTTAATTATTTTTGTTTGTACTCTGTAGATTTGATATTTGATACAGTTTTTGATCCTTTTTTTCTTACAATTAGTATTATTCAAATGTCTATAAACGTAAGAAACATAGTGTGCCTTATAATTTGTAAGATAAAATAGCACAGCTGATTCTGCCGCCATTTAATTACATTCAAGGAAGTACTTAATAAATCCTCCCACTCAGGTATATGGCTTCAACAGGAACTTAACCTGACAAAAACCCACTGCTGACTAACAGACTGCTCATTTAAAATGTCGTCGTGGTTGCATCTGTGTACCGACGATAACAAGGACAATGACGATTACCGTTGCTCTGCTATCCGCACAGGCCGTCTGATCGCAGCATCTTTGTCCCTTGTGGGGTGTCTTCTAGCTCTCCTTGTTATTATTGTTTACAAAAAGTTCAGGTTCTTTACCCAGCGTCTCGTCATGTACATGCTTTGCTCTTGTATGCTGATTGCTTTGTTAAGTCTGCACAACCTTGCTGGTGACAGTCCTGGTTGCACAGCTAAAGGTTTCTTTCGGAACTTTGCGGGTGTTTCACAAAATCTGTGGATCATCTGCATTGACATTCATCTCCTTATAGTCATGTTGAAAAATGGGCGGCAACAACACTTGGAGAAAATCTACCACGGCGTTGTATGGGGAGGAGCTTTAGTGCTGAGTATAATTCCTCTGATTGGTAACCACTACGGGCACGCTGGACTCTGGTGCTGGATAAAAGGAGGTAGTGACTACGAGAATGTCCTGAGAGTTATTTGTTACTACCTTTGGTTAATGTTACTCGTGTTCGGTGGGGGAGTTATCTACATCTACATCGTGTACAAGGTCATGAAGAAGATCAACTCATACGACGGAACGTACAATCCAGAAACGGAACGCAGCAAGGCACAGTACAAGAAGAGCATCAGACCGCTGCTGCTCTACCCCATAGTGGATCTAGTGTTAGCGAGCATATCTACTGCTAACAGGATCCAGAACTGGGCTAATCCTGGGAACCCTGTTTTTGAGCTGGCACTTCTCCACTCCATCGTGTCCCCGTTGTGGGGGTTTGTCAACGCGCTTGTCTTCCTTCTTAACAAGGAGACCCTGAAGCAACTCCATCCTGTTACTTTCTGGCAGGAACTGCGACAGTGGACCAGGACAAACTTCACATTCACAAAGTCGGTTGATACTAGAGCTAAAAACCTGGAGTACACGGTGAAGGACGAGAAGCCACCTGTTACGAACGATGCTGAACAGAGTTTCGGAGAGATGGAATAGCTGTATTGGTAAATTTGTGTTCAGAAATCCCCCCGTTTTTATAGAAGAGAAAGATGTAATAATCATTAAAGCATTGCCGGGGACCAAAATAAGAACTTGAATATATTTCAAATTTTGAATTTGTAATTATTATATATTTCACTCGATAAAGGAACAAAAAGCTTCAAGATAATGCATCGTTATTAATATATTTGAAATCCCCAATTTTACTACCTACTTATTTGACTTAGCTTGTAATGAGTGTAAGCCATTATTTCTGAAATTTTGAATTTGATCACCTGTTTACATTATTTTACTGTTAGATAACACTCTTATACAATATACATACATACAATATTATAATATAATACATAGTATGTACCGATTTAAGTTCGAGGCAACATTTTAAACATAATTTCTTTATAGTAAACTTTAGCATATTTTTACCAACCATCTTCGTGGTTTTATTCTAATCCTGTCAATAACGTTTTGTTTGGTTATTCCATGTTTGGTGAGCAACTAAAGCGATCAGAATATAATAGTTCATAATTGCATAAAATGTGGGTTTCGATTATTTCATGTTTAATATCATTAATCAGAACAGACATTTTGTACATAAAATTTGTAGAAAGTTAAATTCTTTGCACTTGATTGTTAAACACCGAACTCTGGACCAAATTAGAACTAAGCTTGATGTAGAACTTATACTGCCGGTTACTGCCGGTAAAAATTACAATTTATATGATTTAGTAAAACTTGGTGAAGTTCGGAGTTTGCCTGCTGTCACGTGCACACGAAATGTATTGTATTTTAATTTCTATTGTCTTATTTTACTTGTTTATTTTGATAGGTGCTGTGTAGTGTATAATGTTTTTAGTACAGTGTTATCAAATTTAAGGTACACTTTGTATTTTTAATCTATTGTATGAACTTAACTTTTAAATCGATCGTCATCATTGATATGGAATGTTGTGTACGTGTTTTCTTACAAAAAGTAGAAACTTTTTACTCACTGCATTATCATGCATGTTCAATCATACATAATTGATCTTAGACGTATTATATTCTGTAAAACTTTAATATTGTGTAATATAATTAGGTTTGAATGTGAATAGTGATATTATATATTATGATGATAATGTTAATGTGATGAAAATATAAACTTTACCCGTAAAACTAATATAATAATCTTATAATGAAATGAGACTATTTGTTAATGAAAAAGTAATATTTTAACTTTTACAAAACATGTCCTTTATTGCTTTCTCGCTTTTTACTAATCTCGAATTATTCGACTATCAGTGAAGAAGCAAACATTTGCATTTTACTACATTTGACATTTTCGTACGATTTAAACGCTCAGCACTCTAGATCTGCAATAATTGATTTCCCGAGGTTGCAATTTAACGAAACATTTCAAACTTCAGGTTCGTTTAAAGGATGGTAAAGGGCAAAATATTCGACGACAGTGGCACGGAGGTGAAAATGAAGAAGAGTTTTAAAATCGACAAGAAACTGGAACCATTTTACACAGGGGGTGGGCTCCACCTCAGTCCGGATCAGGAGTACTTGTTCTGTCACTGTGAAAATCTCGTCAAAGTGGTTGAAATCTCCACCGGGCAAGCTGTTCAGTGTTTTGGTGACGAGGAGGATGCTGCTATCACCATCTGTGGTAATAACGAGCTCTTGTTCACAGCTCACCGAGCCTCGCTGTTGATAAAACAGTGGAAATGGAAGAGTTCTGGAGATGAGGCACTGGTCAGATCGTTTAAAGCTCACCCAGTCCCGGTAACGTCCATGTCTATGGATTCAACATACTCACTGCTGGCTAGTGGAGCTACTGACAGTGTCATCAGAGTATGGGATATAGAGAACAACTACTGTACCCACCAGTTTAAGGGAAGTAAAGGTGTGGTCACCCTCCTACAGTTCCATCCTAACAAACTACATCTCTTTTCCTCATCCGACGACCTACTGGTCAAGATTTGGGATCTGGAGACTTCCACCCTGATTCACGACCTGAAAGGGCACGTTAGTCCAGTCACCTCTCTCGTGTTTCCCAGTGAAACAGCCATGATCTCCGGGGGACGTGACAAGGTCCTTAACACTTGGGACCTAACATCTGGTAAGCTGAAGGAGACACTTCCTGTGTTTGAGGTTATTGAGGGTATGGCTCTGTGTGAGGACTTGTTGTTACAGCTGGTGATAAGGGAGTACTTCGTGCATGGGACAAGGCCAGTAATAAGTGTGTTCAGCAACAGGATCCTCCTGCTTTGAAAAGAGAGTTTGTGAACCTTATTTCGTATAAATCTGGGATACTTGCTGTTACTTTCGATCAGAACATTCTCATCTACAACAAAGAACTTGAGGTCGAGAAGAATTTGATAGGTTACAATGATGAGATAATTGACATTAAGTCAGCATTTGAGGGTCATCTTGCTCTCGCAACAAACTCAGAACAAATAAGAATTGTTAACCAAGACTCCCTCGCTACCAGCATCCTTTCAGGTCACTCCGGAACAGTCCTCTCCATAGACACAAACCCTGAACACAACCTACTCGCCAGCAGCAGCAAGGACTGCTCTGTCATCATCTGGAAGTGTGATGAGGGCAGCTACACTCAAGTAGCTACTCTAACAGGACACACCAGTGCTGTAAGTGGGGTGGCTTGGTCTCATCTTCCTGAAAACATCCTCCTGGTGAGTGTCAGTAGTGATCTTACTCTTAAACTCTGGCAACCAGCCAAAGGTAATGTGGACAAGCTTCATAAGACCAAGTGTGTGTACACCATAAAGGCTCACGAGAAAGACATAAACTGTGTGACTGTGTCGCCCAATGACAAGTTTATCATAACGGGCTCCCTGGACAAAACAGCTAAGGTTTGGTCGTCAGATAAAGGGAACTTGTTGGGTGTTCTGAGGGGTCACAAGAGAGGAATCTGGTCTGTTAGGTTCAGTCCTGTTGATCAATGTGTGTTGACCAGTTCAGGAGACGCCTTGGTCAAGCTGTGGAGGTTATCCGACTTTAGCTGTATCAGAACATACGAAGGACACTCTTCGTCCGTGTTAAACTGTCAGTTCACCTCGTACGGTAGACAGCTAGTATCATGTTGTGCTGATGGTTTGATAAAGGTATGGAACACTCAGACCTCGGAATGTGTCACCACACTGGATGGGCATGCTGATAAATGTTGGGCACTACTGGTAACTGAAGATAGGATTGTTTCAGGGGCTGCAGACTCTTTGTTGTGTTTCTGGAGGGATGTTACTGCCGAAGAAGAGGATGAGGAAATAAAAGAGGAGCAGTTCCAGAGCGAACAGCAACAGGAACTCAGAAACTTACTGTTTGATGGAAAATTGGCTGCTGCATTTTCTTTATCCCTGGCTCTGAATATGCCTTATAAATGCCTAGGTGTGGCACAGAAGATTCTTGAACTTGACGATGGCACCACTCAACTTAGAAATCTTATCGAAAATCTTCAGATGGATCAGATTGAATCTCTTTTAGAATATTTGGCGACTTGGAACACAAATTCCAAGCATACCATAATTGCGCAGAATGTTTTGTTTGCCTTGTTAAGTGGTGGACAAAGTCGCTCTTTTGCGAGTAACCCTAAACTAAGAGTGCATTGGGAAGCTCTCATCCCGTATACTGAACGTCATTTTGAGCGATTAACTAAGCTTCAACAACAATCTACATTTTTACAATATACATGGGATAGGATGAAATTATCTGAGGTTTGAAATTTTTAGATCGAGATTATCCGTGATATATCTGGGTTCTTTTACTAAATTATTTACAGAAAGTCTTAATGTCACTGTGCTGTGAATTTTTATTAATTTATTGACATTCTTACATTTTAACTTTATTCTATCTGGGCTGGTTGTTTTAATCTTTTCTGATTTGAAACCTTATATATTATAGTACACAAAATCGAAGCAATACTCAGCACACTTACTTCAAGGGTGAATAATTTTGTCTGCTTTTGAGAGTAAAAAGGTAAAGCAATAATTTTAATTCAGAGTTATCAAAATTGTATCGATATCATAATATCATAATGTCTAATCTTGTAGGTCGGATGTCCAAGGATGATACAAGCATATCTGTATTAACGTCAGAAGAGCAAGAAAAAGAAACAAAACTGCTAGAAGACATGGAAGGGCCTAGAATCGATGTTGCCTTAGAGAAAGAAGAAGAGAAAGCTGCCAGCGACACAGTTTCAGAATTACAACCTTCTCATCCTGAAAACCATCCAACAAACCCCTCATCATCTACCATGGAATCATTTACCATGGTCGCGGATCAAAACGTAGCTGAGAAACCGCATGATGATGAAAGTGAGGGTGAAGACTTCAAAACACCCAGATCTGCATTATCTCAGGATGAAGCTGAAACGAATATTGTCGAAGAAGTTGCTCCGTCCGCGTCAGATTCACCGTCTATAAATGTCAGTGGAGAAGTGGAGGTTGAAATAGACCCTTCCAACTTTGATGAGGAAGTGCCAAGGTCATCGTCCTCATTTGATATGATTGGGGATGATGAAGTAGAGGACCTTGCTGACGAAGAGCCTGTTCTGCCTGCTTCTCCGGTGCCTGGTGTTAAATTAGGACATGACATTCCTGCAGACTCCAAACAGTTGGCAGACCTTTTCAAGTACAAGCAAGCTGTGATGCATCCTGATGAGTGGTGTCAGTGGTCCACAGCGTCTACCTGCTCTAACGATACCATCGCTCAACAGAGGCTGTTCAGTGAGAGTATTCTGGCTGAAGCAGCTGATGATAATAAATCAGTCAAAGATGACATCGATGAATCGATTGATGAAGGTACTAAAATGGTCGAGGAATCCGTCCCAGAGGCCAACTTCATTGAAGCAATTCCTGAAGTTGAAGCTACCGCTGAAGCTGAAACTAGCCCCGTTGCCGAATCTCCACCTGTTTTCGAAGCTACACCTGTTGCCGAAGCTACACCTGTGGCTGAAGATGCACCTGTGGTTGAAGCTACCACTGAGGCTGAAACTAGCCCTGAGGCCGAATCTATACCTGTAGCTGAAGCTGCCCCTGAGGCCGAATCTGCACCTTTGGTGGAAGCTGCACCTGTGGCTGAAGCTGCACCTGTGGCTGAAGCTACACCTGTGGCTGAAGCTACACCTGTCATCGCTGAAGAATCTCCAACCGGATTTCTGCCTGAATCTGAACCTGTACCAATTGTCGAATCAGAAACATTCTCCATTGTTGAAGCTACACCTTCAACTCCTGCTACCACCGAAGGAGATGTCAAACCAATCGATCCACCTCAGAAAATTGAAGAAGTCCCGGAAGAAAAGGCTGCAACACCAGCTGAAGTTGCAAAACCAGAGGTCCAGGCCCCAGCTGATGAAGAGGAGTCTGTGCCCAATGAGGTGGAGGAGAAGGAAACTACTAAAACAAATGAATGGATAGAAATACTTGGAAATGATTCCCTCAAAAAGAAGGTTGGTCCTTCTTCCTGAGTTCTTTATTTAGAGACCCTTTTGTTATCGTGATGTTGTAGTCGTTTAACGGGCCAATTTACACACTAGTTTCTGGCATTGGATTTACCTATCTTATATAATGCTCAACCTAATATACAATTTGTAGGCATTTGGCTTTAAATAATATAACAGAACAACAGGCTGCGACTGGGCCCGAATATTTCCTGATTTTTCAATATTCATCCTTGTGCAGAACATCATAAAATATAATATTAGAATGCACCAAAACGCAACATTGTGTTGATTCTGGACCCTGAACCTATTACTACCGCATGAAATAACAAATATCGTGCAGATCAAGAAACACGGAACAGGAGAGAACCTGGAAAAGGGCCAGCAAGTGAGGATGAAATACACACTGATGTTGGCAAATGGACAGATGGTGGATGAGGATTTGGAGATCACATTTCAGCTTGGTGACGGGGAGGTCATTGACGGTACGTTTTGTAATCCAGTTATAACGAGTTATGTTTTATAAGAAAGATTATCTACATTTTTGAATTTCGACTTTCCATTTCGACTTTACATTTCTACATCCATTTTTATATAGAATCCGGGACAGCTTAGTGTCATAAAAAGCTTACTTTCTAATTATTAATTGATGTCTATCACTAACATTTTGTAACACCACAATTCTCTCAGCAATCGACCTGACGGCCAACCTGGCTAAAGTAGGAGAAGTGTACGAAGCGCTGGCCAATGCCCGGTTCGGTTACGGAGTACTCGGCAAACCCCCTCACATTGGTTCAAACTCCTCACTCCTCATACTTGTAGAGATAATCCAGGCGGAGGATACTCCTAAAATCAGCAACATGTCGGAACTGGAACGTGTTAATATTGGGTGAGTAACGGCGGAATTGTTTTATTTTTAGACCGTGATATACCAGGTGTTTCGCAGATTCTCGAAAGTGATAGTATTTAACTATTTAAGTCATGTATAATTATAAAGTGTAAATCAATTTCCCAATTTTAACCGGAATAATTAAATAATTTCCTTCCCACGACAGCACTGGTAAATCGGACTTTTGATGTTGCAAATTTTCTGAGTGATTGTATTTATGTGTAAATGTTCCATTGTACAATATACTTGTAAAAGGGTGTAAAAGGAAGTACAACTTGAGTATAAGTAACTTTAGTATGAGTAGAAAAGTTAGAAATATCGGAAATGGTGTTGTAAAGTTTGTTGCAAGATTGTCACATGACCAATTCTACTATAGCAAGTATGGTACTAGTACAACTCAGAGAGAGATTGTAAATATTATTATGAAATGGATCTACAAATGTTCCCTCATCACGTGACTAACTTATCATTACAGTGACCGGAAGAGGAAGATTGGTAACGATCATTTTGCCAGACAAGATTTCGACAGAGCTTCAAAGAATTACACAAGGTACTTACTGCTTACAGTGTTCTCATTTTTAATTGGCCGCTGAGATGAGCATAAATTAATCAATACATAAATCAGATAATATGACAATATTATAGTACCTATTAACCTATTACCGGGGTATGCTTATATTGGTAAATCAATTCTATTATATATAGATATATATACATATTTTCTATAAATAGAAAATGTCACCCACATGAATGAAGGTGAAATTTTCTCATGTGCCTTCTGCGAGTCTACATAAACTGACAGTTAACATTAAATCGTTCAAGTCACGTGACCGTGGCAATGAGCGTGCAATTTAAGTTATTTGATATATTTGAAGACATTCCAATGTATGTGTCAAATTAGTGACATGATATTATTACAGTGCGTGTAAGTACTTAGATCCGCCAAGTTACGAAGTGACGGGAGAGCCTAGTGGTGAAATGAGGGATCTGCAAGCTAAGACGTGGTGCAACCTCGCTCTTTCTGGTATGAGCATAGAACTGTGCAGCAATTATTTATTTTGTATATTATGTATTATGCACTGTGAAAAAAGTATTTATGCATACATTTTTTAGCGCATACTGATATCCTTTTTCTTCATTTCCTTCTACATTATCATCTTTATACGTTACAGTTAACGGAAATGTTCATTATTTTTATATTTTAAAACACACTCATTCTTATCGTTACGATAAATACGATAAATGTATGTCAGTTTGTTTCGTAATGTAACTGCAATAAAAATAATCAGCTTACAGTAGCGACACCATTAATATCAAAAGTCGTTGCCATGTTTATCTAAGTTTGCATTACATAATGTTATGTTTAAAGCGAGTCCCTTGTATTTCTTAAACTTTATCTCATAATATGGGCGGGGTACAAATATCATATTTCATTTCATTTCAAATGTAAATATTTTTAACGTCATAACCAGCATGGCATTCTATTTTTAAGATTCCACTGCTACCACCACTCCTAAAATATTACAATTTGCTCACAAATCAAAAACAAGTCCATGATGAACCACTAAACTATCCCTAACTAACTCACAGAGTTGAAGAAAGGGAACCTAGGAAGCGGAATCCAGGCAGCTAACAGAGCTTTAGAGGTAGACCCCAAGAACACAAAGGCTCTGTACCGTAAGGGGAAACTTCTCGAACAGAAGGGGGAGCTCGAGGAAGCGGAGAAGGCTCTGAAACTGGCTGTTCAGTTGGAACCTAACAGTGTGGTATGTTGCTGGGTTTTTGTTTCGTTTAGCAGTGATGAGAATTTCCTGCTTTGCTCTAAATGTTTGATATAAATAATACAATTATGCAACGAATATGTTTATCTGGATTATAGTTTAGGTGAAGCAGCTGCAGTTTTAAATTAACTTTATATTTGATTTATTTTGTAATAAATTCGCATTTTTATCAGGGTTGTAAGCAGTTCCTTAAAGAATTGACGAAGAAGATAACAAGTCAGAAGAAAAAAGAGCAACAGATGTATAAAAAAATGTTGAATTTGGAGGAGGAAAAGACAGAAAAAGAAAAGAAGGTGACTTCCTTTGGTGAACAAGAGACAACTTGGATGGAGGTAATTATCTTAATAAGGTCACGTTATCATGTACTGTTATGTGTGAGTTAACTAATTTTATGAGGGAGACAAAAGCGATAATCGAAAGTACACATCCACATGCGTGGGACGTTGGTCTAGAAAAAGTGTATAGGACCAAGGCGCGGAATCCCATCGATAATTTTGTTAACAAAAAGCGTTTTTCCAAGTCAGCATTAGTGCTGCGCGTTCCCGAAACGTCATTTTATACGCAAGCGCTTCCTATCTTTGTACGTACAGTGTTGTTGACAGTCTTAGAAATGGCGTACGTAAGATCGTATTGCAATGAACACGATAATATATTGTCTCTACTAGTATCAATAGACGGAAAAACAACATAAAATGGGTTAAGTATAGGCAAGAGTATATTTTGGTACTTGGTGCCAAAACATTGGGAGAGAGAGGTGAAAATGTAATGAAACTCAATGGGTCATCTTAGAAATCACTGTTGCATCTATCATAAGCTATCATAAGCTTAAAATTTTGAAGCATATAATGTGAAAGCTGAGACGATTCACGATGGCGGCAAGAAGCAGTCTAAAAATTTACTTAATCGTTTTTGAGACCATACATTTTATTTACATCTTGTACCCGTTAATTGTTTGTTATCAATATCGCCTGAAAATCGATAAACTCTCCTTATCTTTAAAATTTCAGGGTGCAATACCGATGGTGGCGGGCGCTGTGACGATCGGCGCACTTGCTGTGGCTGCTTACAACGGATTTAGATCCTTCACCGGATAAATCTGTTATGTTGGGCTATCAGAGACCATCTTTGGCAAGAAACTGCAATTTCCTTTGCACTTATTTACTAATTTATTCAAATTCTTTTATGCTTAAAATGTGAGCGTTGATTATTTATCGTAGATGTTTAATAATAACACTTTAAATAACTTTTTTCTAAATGCTGGAAATCGGTTCATTTGTCAGATTCTTTTTGTTACTGTTGTACATTTTTGACGATTTGCTAAAATGAAGAATCGCTATTTTTTACAAAAAGGCCTTCAAATTTATATCGATCCAGATCTAAGTTTTCCAATAAGGACTTAGTTTTACATTTCGTGGATGTAAGCTGTCTCAAATTATATAAATCTTGATTAAAGTACAGGCAAAATTACTCGTTTTTATCGCCGAATTCTCTCATATTATATCAACTGATTTGAACTCAGATTCCAAAACACCCTCATATGAGAAAATATTAGAATGCGTGCTTCTCGAGTTTTGGGGAAAATTGAACACGCGTCCTCATCACTCATGCCCATATTATGTTTTGGTAAAACTAGATGTTTCGGTAAGGACCATGGTCAGGGAACATGTTCGAGGCTTTGGGATCTCACAGTGAGATTCTCACTTAATGTAAATCTCATAATGTAAAATGTAAATCACGTTAATTAAAGTTTGAAAATACAATTCCACAGTTAACTGTATTGAACTTGAAGTTGAAAATGTGCGCTCATAATTTAATAACCAACCAGAATAATGTCCATCCACGTAATGTCCGCCCAAATTAAGTCCGATAAGGAAGTCTGAATGCAGTTATCTGATTCTTAGTGCTTCACAGGTGTTAATATTCCGGCTTATTTGTGAGATTGTTTTTGTTACTGTTGTGATTCTTCGATAATTCGGAAAAAGAAAACCTCTGTTTTCTGTAATAATTAATTTTTTAAACCATTCAGGAATTATCCATTATTCTATCAAAATCGAATTTTAAAATAAATGCCACACGGCTATAAGTATAAATGTGAGTTAAAAAGGTTGAACGATGTCAAATTAATAAAATAATTGCGCGTAGGCCGTAGAGTATAAGTAATATAAAAGTCATAATAGCTATCCAAAAGTATCTCCCTAGTCAAGGGTGGTACTGTCCCATATGTCCCGTGAATTGTGGTATTTATCCCACATGTCCTCAGTACCATGTACTGTTGATATCCGAATCTTCGATTTAAAGTTCTCTGTCATTAGGACAACTCGGACAGAGCTACCGCTTCCCAGAGTACATAGTTCCAGAAACATCAGACTATCTCTTAACCACTAACATTAGCTAAGTCCCGTATCACTGTCCCCAAAATATCAATCCCCCGCATGAACGTGTCCACACCAAGCCACTCGTTATGATCATGGAGAAGGATGGGAGTGTTGTTAATGGGGGAGAACCCGTACGCAGGGATCCCCTGAGCTCTCAAGTACCTGGAGTCTGTTCCGGCCGGGAATATCTCCGGGACCAGTTTGACGGAGTGCTTTTTGCACGCACCTGAAGGATGTATTCTATGGTTAAGGGAGGTGGGGGGGGGGGGGGTGGGGGGAGGATAACTATATTAAAGTATATCGCAGGCGAACAATTTATAATTGCAAAAAACCTAAATTTTAATATACTTTAATATACCCAGAAAAATAAAGATAACCATTATACCCAGAAAAATAAACGTAAACAAAAACTTAGTTGTAGTGAACGCTGAACTTAGTCGTACTGAACGTACGTTCCAATCATTTTGTAGTGAACGTTTGTGAACGTTAGTGAACGTTAGTCAATATTTTGATAAGTTACAGTAAATAGACAATAATGAATAAAAATAAGTCACTAGTAAGTATAGCAAATAGTAATGAAATTATTGCTCCATAATTCGTGAATTGTTCATATAAGACGCAAACTTGCGTTAACATAAATAAGGTCTCGCTGCTTGTCAACTGTGAGGCGGTTTATTTTTTTGTTTATAACCCAGTCGTACAAGCTCCAATTCGTCTCACAGGGTGAGGCTGATGTCGATTGCGACAGCGCTTTCATTGCAAAACTCTGTAGTTCGGGTACCTCACAACCGAAGTTGCTCCACCAAGAGACTGGATCGTCAGAATCTTGGCTAAAACTTGAGGCAGCGTCAGTAGAGAATAAGCCTCTTTTCTCTCGGTAGAACGTGTACTGCGAAATTATCTTCTACTTTGTTGCGCCGTCACACCACGTGTCCATGACATCTAGAAACTCCTTCCAGACATCCTGATTCGTGTGCTGATCATATCCCTGATAAACCGGGTGAGCACAAAACCCTACTGAATGTAGGGGGAATGGAGCTCGAGCCACCTTTTGTTGGCAAGACTAACCATATCACTTTTATGGTTTCTATTGCGGAAAGCAAAATCAAAAATTTGCTAACTTTAAGGTGAACAGATAATATTTGTAATAAATTACACCGATGAAACCAACAGGAATCTTAAGACTATTGTCTGAAAATCTAAGCAAGACTATTATCGGCTCGAGAATTGAGCATAAATAGTCGACTTCTATCCAGAAATGGGGGTCAAACACTAAATCTTTAGCGCACTCAAACAAATTCTTGTAGCATTACTTTTATTGCTAACAGACTCAGTAAGGGTTGGATCAATATAAGTCTTAATCAAAGTATCCTTGGAACCCTTCAGTCTCTCTAACATAATAAACCGGGTGGCAAACCGAGTTTCCCCTGGTTTTAGCAAATTGACATGAATATGGGTTCTTAAAGTTTTTACTTTTAGAATCATGTCATGATTCTTCACATTTGTAACTATATGTTACAATTCGACAATGTCTCCTTGGTCCAGCTCAACTTCCTGACATCCTCGGCAAGTAGATCGAACTGGTGGGTTACACAGCATGATCCTATGATGTGTTCATAATCAGCTTCGATTAAGCGTCGTAGAGATTTATTGACATTTGGATTGTCTGTTACAACGTGGTAAATCCTGTCGGCAAGTGGCAATGGAAACGCTAGTACTTTGCCGGATAATTGGGCTATGTCCAATCCGGCATATCAATTAACGTTCCTTATGTTCCGAACGTTAAAATCTTTTAGCGAACGCGTTCACAAACTATTTTTAGTGAACGTTCCGTACGTTCACTACAACTAAGAACAAAAACATAAAAAAAGATATTCGGGTTTTGAGACACTAACCAGTTATGGCGTTCCACCATTTGTCCTTAGGATCGATTGAGGAGAGTGCGTCATTGTTGGACGAAGCAATGAAGCTCATCTCCCCTCCGCCAGCTTCGTCAATCCAGGATTTAAGCAGGTTCTTGAACTCTTCGAACGCGTACTCGTGACTAACTCTGTGTGAAACATAGCGGTTAAAATTAGTGCTAATAATAATATTTTTCTTACGGCAACTTATTTGAGAGGTGATCTAGCAGTTTAGAATCAAAAGTAGGTTAAATAATAAATTCTTCATGGTCATAGTTCGTCATTACTTTAAATAGACTGTTTACTGCGCTTATATTTATATGCGCTTTTATGAGCTCAGATTCGATGGCCACACTATCAACCGATAACCGGTAATATCTCGATTATTTCTAAACATTTATCGATTATCGTAATATAATATTTTGGACCGAAAATGTAAACCCTGGTTACAGGTCCGTTCTAAGATATCGATCATGGTTATAATTGTTGGTTACAAATAATGAATAATAAAACTACCTACGGAGACGATTTTTCAAGTTTTAATATAAGATAGCATGAAGTATTAACCTGCAGTCTAGAGTGACAGTAAACTCGCTAGGAACCACGTTAGGTGTAGTCCCACCGTGGATCATGGTCACATTTACTGTGGTCACCTCCCCTAAAGTCATACACGCGTCAGCTAGTAACCTGCACGGGGGATGTTGATTAGTTTTATCATATTTAATAAATCGGGAGGAAAACAAAATGAAAAGAGTTGGTTCAACTCCAGATTCTTACTCAAGAATAGTTTGTTAAGAAAACTTCAAGATCATTAAACCGCAGATTTAATTCGACTGTTTTTTAAAAACAGCAGCCATTAACCTCTTCCTCTGATTCTCACGATAGTCCAAGGCTTTGTTGACCAGCTTCCTCATCTTCTCGACGGCCGTGTTCTCGATAAATCGTGAACCGTGACCAGGGTTGCCACTGAACGTCACCTGGAGAGTTGATCAAGCTGTTACATCAAGATAATATATGTATAGTCAACTTTGTGTTACACACGATTGATGGCACATCGATGTTACATGTTTTCTCTTTTGTAGTGGGCCTTGAGATATTTATAATATTAATATTAATAATAATAAATAAGGCTAAAATGTTAGCCTCAAAAACCTATCTTCAGCTTTGTGGATTTTACATATTTTGTCGAATTCACTGCAAAGAAATAAAAATGTGTAGTTTTATCATTCATCTAATATGTAAGAAAATTGTGCTGTTTATATGAAAAATAAATGAAGAAAAATGCTCCAGCTCAATAATATTTCAATTCAAGAAATCAACAGAATACTTTTACATTTAAATTTTTATAAAATAAATGTTCATTCATTTCATTTCATATAAAACAACAGATTGACGACGTATATCATTAAAACAAAAATAGGTTGCAAATATGATAATACAAATAAAAAGAGCAGAGATATAAGTCTTGAGTTATATATTTTAGAAAATTCAGAAAGGAATCATGTTGATCAGGCCGCATTGAAAACTTGAACCACCACTGTATAGCCACTGAAGCTAACACTAACAGCGCTGAGTGATGACCATATGCACTTAAGAAGGCGACTAAAATGAGGCCAATTAAATAGTGATTAGTATGGAGTTGAAGGGTTCGGTGGCCCTAAGCAATACAATACCATGCAACTTTTAGATATTGAATCAAATTGTGATATCCTAGTAGATTTGTAGTTATCATTGATTAGTGACTTTAGAACACCACATATTACACACCAAATTTATCATTGTCGGAGATTTGAGAAAGAAGGACAATCGGAGAAATTGTTGATTGTAAGGCACGGAAAGTTTCGTACAACCTTAAAGCTTAGCTTACTTGAGGCCAGAAGACATGCCTTTCGCCGTAAAACACGGTCATGGCACCATCTTCCCTGGCAAGACCCTCATCCAGTGCTATTTCTATATTCAGAGCCTTCAAGTCATCACTTTCAGTTAACAATTTCATTCCATGTCCTCCACCAACTTCCTCCTCCGGTACAAATGACAGGAATAGAGTCCTCCTGAGATAGCAAGTATGCAAAATATAAGGTTTTAGAGGTCCCACTTTTTACTAATAGTTAGTGTAACCAGCCTAAAATGCACAGTTCGTCCATTACCGAAGCCACGGGATTGAACAAGTGAAGATGACCGTAATTTGTATCCTGAAGATTGCTCGGAACCATCAAATATCCTGTCTGTGTCCAGTACTCACTATACTCAGCAGCCCAGATGTTCTTGTATCTCTGTTTAACATTTAAGTTTCTAGAAAAGCCTATTGATATATCAAATTTTACTGAAAACTTCATGCGCAACATCAAATTAATGTGATGTGCCTCAAAGACAAGACAAACTCCATGTGCTTGTAGCCATGGCTACTGTTAACGACAAGGAGTTGGAGGACCTGCTCGGGAAATGTTCTGCTTGGATACATAGAGCGATGGAACAAGTCGGGTGCACTGCTCCAGTTGACGTTACGTCAGCAGTGTGTAAACGTGCGATGAAGGACGCATTGTTTTATGAATCGTTCCACTTTGTGCGGTTTCAGGCGGAAAAAATGAAACAGCTGAAGGCTAAGCTGAGCTCCATCAAGAGCCAGCTAATCGAGAATCAGACGTGGGTAATCAGTTTACAGGAGCAGATTATCAACAACAAGGACAAGCACATCGACGCAGTAAAGACTGTGACTGGTCAAGTCTTCAGTGGATTGCAACTTGAAAGAACAATTCAAGTCATACAGTGAAGCTGCTGCAGAGAACGTTATGGTCTGCCAGACTGATAGTTTGGCAGATCCGGCTTCACTGAAGCAAGTCCGTTGTCCAGGAGGAGGATCGGAGCAAGAACGTTGTATTATTCGTACTGCCAGAACAGAAGGACGAGAATGTTGAAGAGCAGGTACAGGAGGTATTCCAGGAGACTAAAAGTAAAACCTACTCTGCAGGTTACTAGAATAGGAAAGATTCGTAAAGAGAATTCGAAGCGCCCAGTCTAGGTTTCGTTATCAAGTCACAGCGCTGTCCATCAAGTGCTATGTCAAGTCAAGAAGCTGCGCCACTCAGCGACTTACAACGATGTGTATGTGAGACCAGATCGCTCCGAAGAAGAGCGATCTCAGGACAGGCTCCTGGTTCATGAACTGGTGGGGAAAAGAGAAATGTAACCGGATAAACTGCATTTCATACGATCGGGGACATTTCACTCAAAAGACAATCCAATCGAGTGATGATGTGTGTTGTGGCTGTGGTACGTGTGCGGTTTTTAAAGATGGTGAATGTTTATGCATACCACCTTGCACTAGCTTTTCTCGTTTTCGCTCCATATGAACATACAAAACTTCATGCACCGTCCAGCTTTCAATCAATCATGCGTTAAATGAACCAACATCAAGCAAAGAACACAAAACCAAGCAACAACTTTACAACTCTCAGCAAGTTTTCAAATGATCTCACGTCAGTCCAGTAGCAGTGTCTCTCTGCGTAGAAGACCACCATATCACTGTTCTCTCTGGCCAGGCCCTCATCTACTGCCATACCAACATTCCACGATTTAAACTCCTCACTTTGACACAACAAACCCATACCATGTCCAGTGTACGTCTCTTCGTCCGGCACGAATGATAGGTACAAATTCCTCCTGAGTTTTTAGAATGCAAGGTACGAATACCTCTTGGGCCCTCCTTGAAAGGGGCTAAATAAAAGTTGTGCCTATTTAAGTATTTTAATCAGTTGATAATATCATTCCAAGGCCTGAAGGCCTCCACCTTCACTGGTACAAAGAAAGGTATAGAGTCTTGAACTAAGATAGTAAGTATGCAAAGGGTAATGTTTTAGAGGTCCCGCTTAATGTCAGTGTAACCAGCCAAAGGAACTTGGTTTGCGCACTAAATCACGTAAAACTGTGAAATTTGGAAACAGGGCTTGGTCGGTTACTGAGGGGAAATCAGAAACGACACCTCAAGATAAACATCTCAAGATAGACAGTATTTGGATTAAATGCACAGTTCGTCCATTACCGAAGTCCCCGTGATCACTTGAACAACTAAAAACGACCATCAAATATCCTGTCCTTGTCCAGTACAGCTCTCGCAATATTATCAGCAGCCAAAACATTCTTGTACCCCTGTTTAACTTGTAAATATCAAATTTCACGCTTCAAGATTTCTATTCCAAAAACTTCATGCGTAACAGCACATTAATGTGATGTACCTCAAAGACAACAAAATGTTAAATGAACGAACATCGAGCAAAGAACACAAAACCAAGCAACAGCTTTACAACTCTCAGCAAGTTTTCAAATAATCTCACGTCAGTCCAGTAGCAGTGTCTCTCTGCGTAGAAGACCACCATATCATTGTTCTCTCTGGCCAGGCCCTCATCCACTGCCATACCAACATTCCACGATTTAAACTCCTCACTTTGACACAACAAACCCATACCCAGTCCACTATCTGTTTCTTCATCCGGCACAAATGATAGATACAAATTCCTCCTGAGTTTTTAGAATGAAAGGTACAAATACCTCTCCATTTTATGGAATGATAGGAACAGTTCCTCTCCAAGTGTTTGAAATAATAGGAACTAATTCCTCCCGAACTTTTGAAATGATGGGTATTGTCATAGTGTATACTATACATCCCTATTTTGAATGACTGTCACTCCCCGTCCACTGGCTGATAATCATAAATTTCACATTGGTCACGGAGTGCATTGTAACAGTCAGAAAAATTTAAACATAAAGTCCATAAAATCAACTGGTTTTGAAAAAAATCCGGACAGCCCTCTTGGAATTTTGGAAACAGGTTTTATTTAAAAAACGTTAGAGTTAGATCAAAGTAGCGCCTATTTATTAGCCTTCAAGACCTCACTTTCAGTTAATAATTTCATCCCATGTCCTGCACCAACTCCATCCTCCGGTACAAAAGACAGGAATAGAGTCCTCGGACTGAGATAGCAAGTATGCGAAGGAAGAAAACAAAATTGTTAGTATTTTAACGGTCCCTTCTTTCACTAAGTCAAGTAAGGCAATATTGGGAAACTATTATGCACATAAAAGAGAAAGTACCAGCCGCCTTGTTGATTGTTGATGCTTCAGGTCGTAGAAAGATTTGTGGGTGTTTATGTAGCATTTTAATTTTGTTATCAACATTTCTGAGATTTGGCAGTGCGTTAATGTTTGAAGTATGGATCTATTATACATGACTTTGTCGAACTTTATGGTGACCGTAATGATTTTTGGGGCATGATACAGTCAAATCTTTAAAAAGCTTTGCTTATGCTGTCAGAGCATTATGATTAACGTATTGGCTCTGGAATACGTTATCAATCATACATAGTATTTTTTATCATAGAGGTCGCTCCTAGTCTATCGATCTGAAAACTGACGGGGAAGACGTAGCATTATATCAAACACGTGACGTTGATTCTGAGTTTTTATTAGTCAATGAGGGAAGCTAATCGGCTAATTTCTGTCACGTGTCAGAAACAAAAGTTCACTTCCCTACCAGTATTCAGATCTAAACACTAAAGGAGATCTTACATTTGTCCACTGTTTGTGCCTTTCTCCGTAAAACACGGTCACAGCATCGTCCTCCCTTGCCAAACCCTCATCCAGTGCCAATCCAACATTTAGTTCCTTGAACTCCCCGGACAGTGCGAACAACTGCATCCCGGTCATACCCCCGATCTCCTCGTCCGGCACCAGGGACAGGTACAGGTCTCGCCTGGGGTGAGGAAACTACACTCAATATCTTAATTTATTTACCCCTCATCCCATGATATATGCTCCATTATTCACTACAAAAAAAGGCTCAGCTTCTTGATATAAACCACATTTAACCTGATATCAGCATCAATTTGGGTCCGTGATATTGTGCTCAAGCCAACTTTGTGTTGCACCGGTATCATAATTACTCGACTTTTAAACGCGAACAAAAAATCGCAAAAATCTAAAACCTGTTTCCAAATTTCCGGGTGAAATACAATTTGAAGGTACCTTAGATTGACAGATTGATGATACAGAATATGCAAAATATGTACACTTACCTCAACTTAGTACCAGAATCCTTGATCCGTCGAACAGCCTCTAGATGCTGTATACACACACACTTCATGTCCTGAAAGAAAAAAGTAGTGACAGCGTAATATGGAAAATGAGATGTGACGGTTTAAGAACTTTTAAACTTTTAAAATTTAGAGCTAACCGGCTTCTCGCGGTCAAATAGGACTGCTTAACTTTGTTTTAACTATGAATGGAAACTAAAGTATATAGCTATATTATGAGAAAAAATTAATCAAAGAGTACGGTTAACAAGAAACTACCGTTTCATTTTAAATATGTATGAATTACACTCAAAATAATATTTGCAAATCTTACTTGGGTGCCTCGTCCGTATATCTTTCCATCGTCAGTGATGTGGCCCGAGAAGGCGTCCACAATCCACTTGTCCTGCTCAACTGGCACGACGTCCACGTGGGAGTTCAACAAAACTGCAACCAAAGATATTATAAAGGAGCACAATCGTCTGTTTGCAAGCCATTGATATTATAAAGGAACACAATTTTAAAATAAACATCATAATTCAGAAAAGCAGAAAGAACATTGTGAAAACACTAAACAAGAGAACAAGAAACTTTGGAGAGAAAGTTTCACAATTTCCTCAAATTTATAAGGTACAAACCGGAAGGTAGTTCAGGGTTAGTTCCGGGGAGTTTGACTACGATAACAGGCTTTCCAGGGTGGTACTCCTTGTCAACAACCACCTGGGGCAATGAGGAAGGTTATCAGATGTAGAACAAGTGAATGGAACCGTAGGTTTCTCTAATAACCAAATTCCTTACAACCCAAACAAGAATTGCGCCCGTTGTTTCGTTTTGGCGGACGCTAGATTTCCATTTCACATTTACTATAAATTTAAGTATAAGCTCCAATCAGCTCACTTCAATCTTCATGATAATAATATTGATAAATTATGCATCAAATACGGGAAACACTTGAAATTCAGTTCAATTGCCGTAGAACTTAACTTGTATCTGTAATTCAAGAAATTATCAGCTAAGGTAAACTATACTCGTGTACACATCAATACACTACGCGTGCCACGTACAAATTGGGCGTATTACCTAATAGTAATATTATACATTACATGCATCATATACATTAAAACACAGTCGCGCCGCGCATTCTTAGATCACAGGCTATCTATACATCACATCTCCGCAAGCAATCCTCGCGCGCGCGCAACTTTTTCGTCGCATGGTAACTAACGAAAGGACTGACGACATATTTAAACCCACCTATCTCGTTCTCCAAAATCCACGTTTTTCTGCAAAAACATCCATTCGTAACCTTTCACTATTGCCTTTTTTCAAAAGGGTGAAAAGGAAAAAATCAGATGATTTTCTTAGAAACCCATACTTTGATCTGTTTATTGCAAAGCAGTGTTCTGGAGTGACACACTGTCTCGCCAAGACAATAGTCGGGTATATATATATATATATATATATATATATATATATATATATATATATATATATGTCCGTGGATTATACTGACCAGCACATACAATGGAAAATAATAGGCCGGGTCTGTTCGTGGTTAAAGAACAGCATAATCGATCCGCATTGTGCTGATATCTTCATCAATTTGTTTGATATTGGTGCTAATACGAGGAAGTAGTTGTAGTGTAGTAGGGGGGGGGGGGGGGGGGGGGGGCCTGTAGTAAGAAAAGCTGAGTTCTCAAACTATCTACCATTTCCAACACAATTTCAGTCAGCGAAAGGCGAAATGTAGTAATCTCCTTCTCAAATGATAGGTAATTTTGTTCTTTGTTTCGCTTGCTATGACCGGGCGATTCAGACTACAGTACTTTACCACGGAATTGGGGAAAGGGGCAGCCGCAGTAAATCAGGGTTCGCGGTAAATTGGGTTTTGCTTGTCCATACAAGGTATGTAAAGCTCCGTTTGTAGTAAAGGAAATGGTCCCGGTAAATCGGAAACGCGAGATTTGCTGTCTTACATTTTTTAACTATTTTTTAATGAACAGATTGATTGTACACACAAATCTACGCGAAAAGAATTTTACTACCGACTGGATGTTCAGCGCAGCAGGAACTGAAAATAAAGAGCCGCGCTATGGAACTCGAAACGACGTGAAGCTAAATATGTTGTTATTATGGACTTTAACAGCCTTGCTGACATCGCTCATATGAGACAGCATCATTCTTATAGTTACTTTCAAAACAAAGCTATCAAACTACACAGAATTGTAATCGCAGTTATGCAACATTTGGCGATCTGCGATCTACTTCAGACAGTCTTCGTAGTACTTCCAAAACTCTCGCCTTGATTTTTTTAACGCTGGGTGGTGGGTAAGTTTTTCTGTAATCTCCAGGAATATGTACGCTGGCTTGCTTGTACAGTGACTATCTTGCTAGAAGCCGTTTTAACGACCATGAAGATCATGATAGTAAAGAATCCTTTAAAAACAGGATCCTCGTCTTCAAAATTTGGACACAAGATCTGTACAGCAGTGTGGATCCTTTCTCTGGGTCTACATGCACCATGGTTGATTATGATAATATTAATATGATTACGAGAGGAAAATTTGTCTTTAGTTATTGATATTCTTCCTATATATTGTGTGAATCAAATTATTTGTATTACCTTCCAGAATGGTACTTACATTATCAGGTAATAACTTGTGGTTTCTGTCCCTATAATATCTGTCCCTACAATATCTGTGCACATTATATAGGACAAGCATCTAATGACGAAGAGTTTAAAAACTCTGTTATATCTGAGTTAAAGTAAGTATAAATTAATCCGGGAATCAGGATGTTGACGGATGTTACTGGTCTAAATTTCTTCGAAGTAGCGCGCGCCGCTTTATTCTCGAAATGGCCCGAGGCAAGTGCTACGAGGTACTGTAGCGCGCGCCGGGCTAGTCCATTAACAATGGACAAATCAGTATGGTATTCCTGAGGTCTAGCATTGGGGTTTGGTCGAGGATAAGTCAGTAGTAGGAAAGGGTTGAGGACAGGGAAGAATCAGGGATAAGGAAGAGCCAGGAGTAGGGAAGAGTTGGGGACAGGGAAGAGCCTTAAGGTTTAATTACTCACACTGTGAGCTGGTCACGACTATCTCGAAAACTGAAATATGTCCACTTTCCTTTGAGAGTCGTATAGAATCCCCTTCAACATCACAGAAAAAGGTGTACGTCTGATCTGAGATTTCTAGTCCGTGTGTCACTTGGAGGGTTCCACAGGACTTCTGGTGTTCTTCTTCTTGGTACAGTGACACATCTACATTATTATGACTGCCTTTGCAAGATATGTAGTTGCTCATGGTCTTCACACACCAATTATTGTCGTACAAGTCAGCGTTGTAGAAAACCTGGTAGATCACAATTTTGTGAATGAAGTGACTTTTCCCGAACTCTACTTTGAACCAGACTTCTCCATCGACTGCCTCGGCAGCTGATTCAGTCATTAGATCCCTGTCGACCGCAAAGGTTTCTTTAAACTTCTGATTATTGTCCAACGTCTTCGACTGTGTGACTCTCAGTGCTGATATCTCCCCTGGTGACCATGGTAGAATGTGTTGAACTTGAGTAGTAACTCCAGTTAACTGGCAAGCTGCCAACACCATCATCAAGATGATCCTCATTTTGTCGAATAGGCTGATTCTCTATGTGTGCAGCTGTTGCAGAGATACATACAACATCAAATAGCTTTAAAGAGTAAAAATATATTGTGAGTTTGACTAAATAAAAGAGGACACTAAATCTTTATTCATAAGTAGTAACTGTAAGTACCGACCCCTCCTTGTTCAACTATTCTTACACAATATACGGTAAACTTGGATTAGGAACCGACCGGTCTGGGGTTTCGGCTGCCGGACCGGAAACGACCGGATATCAATTTATTTTCCGGTTTGCCGGATTTTTCCGGACCGGAACCGGGTAATAAGAAGATGGAATTTCAGACTGCTGGAAATCAAAATGCCCATTTCAAGAATTTACTGCGATTTGCGTAACACAAATGTAGATATTGTTCTCGAAGTAAAGCCCAAAATCCAGCTCTCACAAGTTCGTGGCGTCGATATAAGAGAGGATTATGTCCATAGTTGTTTATTAGCACAATGGCCTTTGTTCTAATCCTTGGTATAAGGGGAGTGAGCACCCTCTGCTTGCAATGCTCATGAATAAATTATTATTTTGTCATCAGTCTGGAGTTGTTTATTAGCATAATGGCCTTTGTTCTAATCCTTGGTATAAGGGAAGTGAGCACCCTCTGCTTGCAGTGCTCATGAATAAATTATTGTTTTGTCATCAGTCTGGATACCTGCTTTGACTCTTTTCTTTGTGTTACACAAAATCTTAATTAAACGGGCCTTTAAAATTCGCTGACAGATCATAACTCATTGGGTATAATATGCACTATTCTGTTATACAGGTCCTAAGAGAAAGGTCAGAAAAAAAGTATGTCTTCCATTTTCCAACTCAATTGTAGACGCCAAAAGTAACCGAAGCAGAGCAGCACATGAGCACTCAGCAAATGAATCTATTTGTTATCCTTGCTATAGAAAAATAAACAATAAAAAGTAAAACTACTAGCGGTTATAATCGACCACACGTTTACTAAGTTGGCTAATAACTCATGACACTTAAACAATTTACGGTTGAACTTAAGTTTTAACTTACCTAAGCTATAAGTATAGTTTTTTGCGTTCGATCTGGCTCTATAATAGGGGTATAGGACACGAGGGCGAAGGACACAATGGCGGTAATTTACGAGTTGTAACTGTATAACGTTAGTTTGTGAAACTTAATTTATTTCGAAATAGAAGTTGACCAACAAACTAGGGCCCGTACGCTCCAACATTGGTAGCTTTTGGCCTGTAAATTAGTCAAATATCAATATTTTGAATGAACTTAACTTTGTATGAAAGATAAGCCTAAATTCTACATTCTCTGTGAGTTATAACTCTAATAAGTATATCTATTGAAACGTGGAAAATAAGGCGAAAACAGAAAAGAGCACAAAAATCCAAAAATGAACAAAATTACCTGTATCCTAATTCGCGAAAGTGTTCTCATTAAAATTGAAATACCTCAGCTAGCAAGTAGCATTACCCCACAGTTGCTAAATATTTTCAGTTACAATCAGTCAATTTCTTATTGATCTTCATCTACTGGTTCAGGTACGTTTCTCTCTCCAGTGTAGTCCCAGGCGTAGGCTGGGACTAATGATGGGGAAAATGATATGGTGACCTAAATTTTGGTAGTCCGAAAATATGGTGTTCTTTTCGGAAAACCACCGACTTTTGTACCTTTTAAATATGTCTCGTAAGGTACTCCCTAACAGTAAAAAGTTGTCGACTCTTCCTTAAGCTAATTAAGATAACCCGATTCATCTCATTGCTACGGCCCTTTCAAGAAACCAATGCAAAACCACCTACTGTACCACGTCCACGTCGAGAACTCCATCAAGCCACTTCATCAGGACAGCATATTTATCCCAACCGGGCCCCACATCCAGTCACACAGCAGTCTGACTGCCAGGAAACTTTGGATTTGAGAGGAAATTCGGTGCCAAAAAGGAAATGTGTAGAGGACCTGACCTTTTTAGAGTGGAAATATTGGACTGCGAGAAAATTTGAAATTTTCTGGATGTGGTATCCCAAGTCCCAACCTCATTTCTTAATCTCTTGCTGTCTCGGATTTCACTCTTTCTTAAAGTTTTACAGGCAAACACTTTCATGACCACCCTTATAGGCGTAACAGAGGCGATCTGAATTTGTTCTCACCCAGGAGCGCCCAGTTTAACGGGTAAATCATCTGCTCACAAACCATCAGGTCTCAAGATGCCTCCAACAGATAGCAGGGAAAGTAACATTCCTCCCAAAATTTTCTTGTTATACAGAGTTAACCATTTGTAAATGCCATTTCAACGATATTTCTACGACATTGACTTCTAGAAAATCACAAACGTGGTCAACGTTTTGAAGATATATCTAGAATTTATAATTTTATCTATGTTTCGACAAAACTTTATCGCCAACAAATAAGAATTACGTATCTTGAGTTAATAAGATGTTTTTATAATATACATATAACATTGCTTAAAATTTTACAATCTTTCAACAATATTTGATGATATAATGATGAAAATCTAATTATTATACTTATAGGCTACAATCTTACAATGAGTATTTTAGTAACAAATTTTATGGTCAAATAATCGTTACAATTAGAAAATGGTACAAGAAAAATTACAGTATTTTGGAAATGATCTTTATCATTCTTTCTTTCCGCCATGCCAGGCTGCCATGGGAGCGTTAATGTAGTTCCCTTCTTTGTACTTTTCACTTTCAAACCATTCCTTCAGATTTGGCAGTTCCTCAAACCTCTTCATAAAGGCGAGCACGTTATCATTTCCTTCAAATGTATGGGGCACGAAACTCTTCAGATGATCGAGAAACTCGTACAAGAGAAAGTCCACATAACAAGGTTTGTCTCCGAGCAAGAAGGGCTTGGTCAGGATCTTATTAAACTTGGGAACCCTCTCGCTGACTCGCTGAGCAAATCGACCCTTCAGGAACTCGTGGTCGAACTTGCCTATTTCTGAACCGGGGAAAGGGCCAAAAGCATTGTAAGGGTTGTAACAAGCGCTGCTCATCTTGTTACGCAGGTCGAATAGCTCCTGTTCAACTATCTCAGCAAGGACAATGTCATCCGGGTCAGTTGGAAACATACCAAACTTCCTTCCGAGATACCTCATGATAGTTATGCTCTGAGTTACTTTCTTGCCGTCATCCTCAATGAAAGGCAGGTTTCCAAAAGGCATATCATCCGCATCTCTCATTTTCATCCAGTCCCCAAACCCCTCGTTACTTATTTGTAGGGTGTTCTCCTCCCAGGGCTCGTCTTGGTATCGCAGGATGTGTCTGATAGGTTCAGCCAGGCCTCTAACAGACCAATACGTGAGAGTTATTGTCATGATCTGTAGGATTTGAAGTCAGTCTAAAAGAAATTCAGCATTATTATTAAATGTTCATACCGTTTATATCGATCAAACCATGGAAGAAGGAAACAATTTAACAAGGTTCATGTAACAGCAAAGTGCGTATCAACTTTCGATATTTTATGGTTATAGGCACCAAATATATATTTGGAAAAAAACAACTAGCTACACCCCAACGAATATAGTAGATGCAACTGTCAAGAAAGTGAATATTAAGATATGTGTGACCCTCAGATAAATACGACGACGATCAGAAGAATGACCAGTAAACGAAAGGACGTACGTGTCGTATGTTAAAATCTTCGATCGTAATCAAATTAACATGGCGATAAGTGTGAGGTGATACAATGATTAGGTAGTATGTATGTTATACAAATACTTATTCGGGTATTAAGGGATAGGATGGCCGGATGGGGCATTATATCAAAAGTGAGAGGTCAATAATAAGCTATCTAGAGCTGTCTTGCCAGACGTATATATTTGAAAAATTGTTAAGGGGGGGGGGGCCAATGGATATTTTTTTGTGAAACTTGATTTCGAGATAGTAGTTGACCAACAAACTAAGACCAGTGACCGAACTTTTGAGGGGGTCCCGGACCCCAACCGCCAAACGGTGCGCGCAGGGCAGCCACGCCTATATTTGGTCCAAATTAGGCCCAATTTAGCCAAATACCCTGAACATGCCCAAAACCAAGGTTTATGGTGCTCTACTTGTAGCTAGTGGTCTCCTGAACTCGTATATGAAATTTCATCAAGATTGGACGAAAAATGACTGAGTTATGAGCCAAAAACCATATGCCCATATTTGGGCATACGCACCAAATTTGGTATATTTCGGCCCATAAATTGGTCAAATATCAATATTTTTGAATGAAACTTACTTTATATGAAAGGTAAGCCTAAACTACATATTATCTGTAAGTTATAGCTTTATATCTGTTTAAATGTGGATACTAAGGCGAAAAAACCACAAAAAAGAACTAAATTGCCCATATCTCGGTTCGCGATATTTGCGGAATTGATCTCATTAAAATTGTAACAACTCAATCAGTTTTCAAAATTTTTGCATGAAATTTTCGGAATCGACTCGAAATCGCATTTCCACCTTATTTTAAATACGGATTTTTGATTTAGGCCTCCAAAAAAATTTGGCGGCCAAATTCTGAATTTTTGTGAGATAATTTTGGAATTTGGCCGCCAAATTTTTTTGGAGGCCTAAATCAAAAATCCGTATTTAAAATAAGGTGGAAATGCGATTTCGAGTCGATTCCGAAAATTTCATGCAAAAATTTTGAAAACTGATTGAGTTGTTACAATTTTAATGAGATCAATTCCGCAAATATCGCGAACCGAGATATGGGCAATTTAGTTCATTTTTTGTGGTTTTTTCGCCTTAGTATCCACATTTAAACAGATATAAAGCTATAACTTACAGATAATATGTAGTTTAGGCTTACCTTTCATATAAAGTAAGTTTCATTCAAAAATATTGATATTTGACCAATTTATGGGACGAAATCTACCAAATTTGGTGCGTATGCCCAAATATGGGCATATGGTTTTTGGCTCATAACTCAGTCATTTTTTGTTCAATCTTGATGAAATTTCATATACGAGTTCAGGAGACCACTAGCTACAAGTAGAGCACCATAAATCTTGGTTTTGGGCATGTTCAGGGTATTTGGCTAAATTGGGCCTAATTTGGACCAAATATGGGCGTGGCTGCCATGCGCGCACCGTTTGGCGGTTGGGGTCCGGGACCCCCTCAAAAGTTCGGTCACTGGTCTTACTTTGTTGGTCAATTGCTATCTCGAAATCAAGTTTCACAAAAAAAATACCCATTGGCCCCCCCCCCTTAAGATCACAATTTCAGACGAGAGCTTTCATATTTTGTTCACGAGATTGAAACAAGAATAAAGTTAAGAATAACTGCACCATATCATGAATATATCATGGAATACAAGGTAGGTACCTACTACCTAAGACGTAAGTTGTTTAGACTGACATAATGAAAGTAGTTAACGATACGCACTACCCAAGTATACGCATGATCTACAAATCCTGGCTGGATCAGCCCGTGCAGGAACAAGAGAAAGTCAGCTAGTCAGCTACCCTCACCTAAATAAATAAAACTCAGAAACATGATCTGTAAATACGAACGTGTCAGGTGCGAATCTGTTAAAAGTCTCCCTAGTAATCGAGTTGATATGTGATGTAAGACAATGTGGTACACAGTGCAGCTGTGATAACTGATAACCTACCTACGTGATGCTAGATTTTAATAAAGTAAACTAGATTAAAAAGTAAATTTGAGGACCTGCATCTCAAACAGGCACTCCCTCTTTTCTACGTAAAGACTAAGAATTAGGCCGCTCTAACAAGTAATCTCTAATATATGATACCAACTTATCAACGGACCCAATTAGGCTCCAACAAACAAAGAAGACACTGCCTTAAGTTAGCTTAAGAATTTAAATCTTTACTCATAAGTAGTAAGTACCCACCCCTCCTTGTTCAACTATCCTAGCACAATAATATACGGTAAACTTGGACTAGGAACCGACCGCGACCGGTCTGGGGTTTCGGCTGCTGGACCGGATACAACCGGATATCAATCACCGCACCCCGAGAAACTGAAAATCATGAGCATTCAAACTTAAACCAAATTAGAGAGTTATACCCAGTTTACCTGGGGACCCCAGGTAAACTGAGTTATAACTCTCTAATTTGGTTTGACATAATGAAAGTACTTAACCAGTTAACGAGACCAAAGTATACGCATGATCTACAAAACCTCGCTGGATCAGCCCGTGGAGGAACAAGAAAAAGTTAGCTAGTCAGCTACCCTCACATAAATAAATACAACTCAGAAACATGTCAGGTGCGAATATGTTAAAAGTCTCCCTAGTAATCGAGTTGATATGTGATGTAAGACAATGTGGTACACAGTGCAGCTGTGATAACTGATAACCTATCTTCGTGATGCTAGATTTTAATAAAGTAAACTAGATTAAAAAGTAAATTTGAGGACCTGCATCGACCTGCAACGATTAGGTTAGCGTTATCGTCTATCAAAATTTTAAGGATTAATTTGAGGGAGCAATTGTAATTAGGATTTAAATAACCGCACCCCGAGAAACTGAAAATCATGAGTATTCAAACTTAAACCAAATTGGAGAGTTATAACCGAGTTTACCTGGGGACCCCAGGCTATTATAACCCAGTTTGAGTTAGTCTAGAATTTCAGTTAAACATCCGAGATAAATATGATAAGGTGCTTCTTGGAAATGTGACGTTAAATCAGATTAAATCACTGTCTGTACGTTTAGATTGTGTGTAAGGTGGTGAACATTAAAATTGAACATAGAATTGTAGATAAATATGATACGCTTCTTCTTTAGAATGCGGCGAATCTCAAACCGGCACTCCCTCTTTTCTACGTAAAGAATTAGGCCGCTCTAATTTTTTAGAGAAGAATTAGGCCGCTCTAACAACTAACAAGTAATCTCTAATATGATACCAACTTATCAACGGACCCAAGGCTCCATTGTGGTCCATAAAACGACTATGAAATTATCAATGATTCAAAATTCTCACAAAATGGCAATCCATTTAAGATAATGCAGCAAGATAAGAGTTGTTCGAGTATACTTGGCTTTCTTAATCGAATCAATAAAACTTCCATTCAGACGGCTGTGAGAAATGTTGTCACTGACTCAGACTTTATCATAACCTCAAATAGGCAAATTCTGAAGAATTGAGCCGTTGCAATAAACCTGTGATTCAATGGACCTGCACAGATGAGCTATTTGAACAAACAGTGAACACTTAAACTAAACCTTAGCCAAACAGAATTCAAATGGATACCCAGCAAACTACATTACAAACTATCAAAAAGTTGACATAAGCGTTGACGGGATCGCAAGCTAAACATTGTAAGGTAAACATTTTACAATGTAAACATTGCAAAAGTAAACGGCTCTCACTACTAAACACTGTTTAATAACGCACGTCGCCCACGTACAGGATAAAAACTTATGTATTATCGTATCGACAAACACTCGAACATTCTGAATGATGCGACTTTCTATAGTTTAATAAAAGTTGGCAACTCAAGAATAAGGACTTATCTATCTAGCTGCTGGTACTTTGGAATTTAGTTAAAAGACAACGAGTTAAAAGGAATATTGGAACAAAAACTACGACTAGATAAAACATGCACAAACACAAACAACCTCGGCAAATCTTATTGCCGTCCACCTAAAATATTTCTAATCTTAAAAAGTCAGGCTTTTCCTTTTTCTCACCCCTTGGCAGTAATTTTGCAATAATTGTTTTTCGCGTCAACCGAACTTTCAAGTGAATGGGAATTGGGATAATACACAAATCGGATATTTAAAAAAGCATACCTAACATTCGGAAAAATCCCCACTCCCATGCATAGCGGGGTATCAGGGGCGGTCGTTACGCCACTGGACCGTTCGATCACATATAAAAGCGTAAACAATATAGCAGAATGTAAATTCACATGGAATTTACATCTATTGATCTATAAGTCTCAACTAATAACTGAGGAATGTGTGGATCACTCCAAAGTTTGATGTTACACTCGATGTTCTCAATGATTCATTTATATAATTCATTTATAAAATTTATAACAAATTAGGTTACCTTGTAATTCAGTAAACACATTTTCCTTTCTCAAAACATCATTCTACACTCTTGTTTAAAGCTCGATGTTCTTACTTGCATTTCAGGGCTATTTGTAATATTTTACGGCTTTGAGGCAGTGGCGAAACGTACCTTTGTGCCGTCGATTGAAAGTTCCGGAAAATGCAGTCAATCGATTCACCGTGACGACTGATTTTACCATTTTTATAGAACGATGGACAACTACCTGAAGAATGGAGGAGAAATGTTCGACAAATACTGCTCCACTAACAAACCCATAATGCTCCCCCAGCACCCGATCAAACATATATCGACATATATCCTGACTAGGACCAACTGGG